AAAAAGAAAAGAGATAAAAGCTAAGAAACTTAGTTAAAACTGAAAACACATAGAACTTTAAAATCAAACATAAAAGTAGGTGGAGCATAGAGGAACTTTAGGGCAGTAAAAATACTCCATATGATACCATAATGGTGGTTACATGCCATTATACCTTTGTCCAAATCCATAGACTGTACACCACCAAGAGTGAACCCTAAGGTAAGCTATGGACTTTGGGTGGCTATGATGTGTTAATGAGCCTTTCGAAAAATAATAAATATAAATCAAGCATAAATCATTTTTCTTTTTGTGAAATTTTTGGCAAAGTCGCCAATGAGAAAGAAAAGGAGAAACTTTCCAAATTGGAATTTTAAATGAGAAAAAATTTAAAAACAAGGAATTTAGGACTATATTCAGTTAACCACAGTTTTAAATTTACTGAGGCCTATATTAGAACGGTGACTATGAAGATCAAAGTGGGTGAATGCCAGAGTATTTATGAAGAAACAAACTGTAAGAACTCACAACCGGCTGGGTATGAAAGAGGTCACATAGACTTTTATTATGCTGCTTCTCACGTGGTCACTTTCCAAGCTGGGCTGCACGATCCAGAGGAAACCCTTGGGAAATCGCAGGGGTCGTACTGTGAACGCTACCTAGTTACTTGCTGAGGCCTCAGGTGGCATCGCTTTTGCCTCCTTTTATCCCTCCAATTTTACTGATAAAGTCAGAGTTTCGCACATATAATAAGTATCTTCCCCCGCGCCTCAATGCTCTCCTTTGAACCCTTGCAGAAAGAAAACTTCCCAAACTATTTTCCCCAAAAATGACAACTCTGTGTCAAGGGGATGACTGTTTTCATGAATGCCCTCCAGTCCTTGTACTACTCATTCTTTTTGATAGCTCAGGTCAGAGGTAAGCAAATCTTTTCTGTAAAGGGTCAGATAGTAAATAGTGTAGGCTTTGTGGTCTATTCAGTTTCTGTTGCAACTGTGACCTTGGAGAATAACAGCAGCCACAGACAGCATGTAAACAAATGATAGCGGCTGTGTTCCAATAAAACTTTATTTATGAAAACAGGTGGTGGGCTCGATTTGGCCTTGAACCATAGTTTTCAACCTTGGGCCTAGATTGTTCTTTTCAGCCTGAACTCATCTCCCTAATAAAAATTTAAATAACTAGCACGTATTGAGTACAATCTGTCAGGTACTATTCTAAGTGATTTACATATATTTTTATATTTTATTCTCATCAATGCTCTAGGATAATTTATCACTCAGGGTTCAGGATAGGAAAAATAAATTATTTTAGGTATTTCCAGTATAAAGGAATTTCATATAGGGAAGTACATGCTTATAAATTCATTGGAAGAGTTGGAACAGCAGAAATAGGGGCCTTGCTCTGGAGTTTTGGTGTGAAGGTCATACCCTCATAGCTGTGATCCACTGGGCAGGAAGCTACTGCTGCTACCACTGCTGCTGCTGCCACAGCTGCCTCATATTCGAGAAGATGTGTCCAGAGGGCAACACAGATCCAACCCATGCAAATCTTGTGTCTGTCAGAGCCTGCTTCTCAGCTCTCCCTGCTGCAGGAAGCTTGTTTCTGTCTCCCTTTCAAATCTCATGTGTGTGCAGAACTTACTGCATATCTACAACCCTAGCTGCAAGAGAGTCTGGAAAATGTACTTTCAGCTTTCCAACTTCTCCACACATATAGGCGGGTGAAATGGCGGTTGAGAGGGCCAAAGTAGCCAGCACAGATGGGTACTACTACCATTCCTATTTAAAGCCAAGTTGGAAAGAACTTCCTGCCATTTCTCCTTGATTTCCTTTATTCTAAATAGACAAGTTAATATTATGGGGAGTTGCTTATCTGGACACTTCCTTTCTGATACACATAGTTTTAATGATTTCTTATTTTTGAAATATGTATAAATAGAACATTTTAAAGAACAAAACAGTGGTGATGAGTCTCTTCAAGAAATACTGTTCCTTGGATAAAGATGTAGTACATATATACAATGGAATATTACTCAGCCATAAAAAGGAATGAAATTGGATCATTTGTAGAAACTTGGATGGACCTAGAGACTGTCATACAGAGTGAAGTCAGAAAGAGAAAAACAAATATCGTATATTAACACATATATGTGGAATCTAGAAAAATGGTATAGATGGTCTTATTTGCAAAGCAGAAATAGAGACACAGACACGGAGAACAAACATATGGATACCGAGGGGGAAGGGGGGGGTGGGATGAATTGGGAGATTGGGAGTGACATATATACACTATTGATACCATGTATAAAATAGATAACTAATGATAACATACTGTATAGCACAGGGAACTCTACTCAGTGCTCTGTGGTGAACTAAATGGGAAGGAAATCCAAAAAAGATGGGATATTTGTATATGTATAGCTGATTCACTTTGCTGTACGGCAGAAACTAACACAACATTGTAAAGCAACTATACTCCAATAAAAATTAATTTAAAAAAAAGAAATACTATTCCTCATTCCGTATGTTCACATCCTAATTATGCTGAATTTTTAAGCTGAAGATCAAACCTGGCCTTTTTTTTTTTCGGCCGCACTGCATGGCTTGCAGGATCCTAGTTCCCTGACCAGGGATCGAACCCGTGCCCCCTGCACTGGAAGCACAGAGTCCTAACCAATGGACCACCAGGGAATTTTCCAAACCTGGCCATTTTTGTAATCAGATTTGAAAGATGGCTCATCATCTCTGCCAGCAACCTTCTATATCCTCATTGCAAAATTTAAATTTGTTTTCATGGATTAAAAGAGCTTATAAAAGGGGATTAAACGAGTGTCTCCTGAGACCTAAGTAAATAATTTGACAGTGCTACATGACCCATACTTACTGATACTCCCCCAACCCTTCCATCAGGCACAGGTATCACTCCCTCCTTTGTGTACCCGATGTACAATATAAATTCAACAAATGTTGAATAAATACACAAAAAATGCATCATATATAAACCAGGATTTTTAGTTAACGTTATCCTAGGCTGTTTACTCCATTTAAGATTATGAACTTTGGGGCTTCCCTGGTGGCGCAGTGATTGAGAGTCCGCCTGCCGATGCAGGGGACTTGGGTTCGTGCCCCGGTCCGGGAAGATCCCACATGCTGCGGAGCGGCGGGGCCCGTGAGCCATGGCTGCTGAGCCTGCGCGTCCGGAGCCTGTGCTCCGCAACGGGAGAGGCCACAACAGTGAGAGGCCCACGTACCGCAAAAAAAAAAAGAAAGATTATTAACTTCTTGAAAATCAGGATCATATCTTTTACACTTTTATACCTTTCTTTTTACCTCCTATTGAGAACATAGGAAGTGCTCAATAAATATACTGAATCAATAGTTTTGAAATAAAATACACATCTATCGGTGATTAACCTCAAATATTAACCAGTAATATTTATATTTTAAAACTATTTTATTAAAGAAAACATTTAAAAGAGAGAAACAATTAAAGAACAAGTCAGTAATATTCCAACCACCTAAAGACAACCAATACCTGGTTTCTTTTTTTGAGAGGCCACATTTAGATAACTTTTATTACAGTACATTGCAAAAATTATTCTATTTTATTATTATTATTAATCTCTTACTGTGCCTTAATTTGTACATTAAACTTTATCATAGGCATGATGTATAGGAAAAAGCATAGTGTATATAGGATTCGGTACTATGCAGTGGCTCAGGCCTCCACTGCGTTCTTGGAACGGATCTCCCGAGCCTAAGGGGATGACTGCTATATTGACTTTAGGCCAAGGAACAGTCTGAGCAGATTTGATTTTCAGAAAAATCACACTGGAAAACAATAGGGGGGAATGAATGGAAGGGATGAGTCTGGAGGCAGGAAGGTCAGGCTGGAGGCTACTGGGATACCACAGGGGAGATGTGCTGGTGCCCTAGACCAAGCAGGGTTGATGAGAAGGAAAGAGAGCTCCACAGCTCACACTGTACAGCAGGGCTAGCCAGTGACATTGATGCCTGGGGCAGTATGACAAAACAGCATCCCTTCAAACTAATACTTTTTTTTTTTTTTTCAAACTAATACTTTTTAAATGGACACATCTATTTAGTGGACATGGAAAGAAACAAAGTATCCATTATTAAAAACTGCATGTCCATTTCTTTACTTTTATTATGTGTATCAAAGATAACATTTCAGGGACTTCCCTGGTGGTGCAGTGGTTAAGAATCTGCCTGCCAACATAGGGGACATGGGTTCAAGCCCTGGTCCGGGAAGATCCCACATGCCGAGGAGCAACTAAGCCTGTGCAACACAACTACTGAGCCCGCGTGCTGCAACTACTAAAGCCCGCATGCCGAGAGCGCATGCTCCGCAAGAAGAGAGGCCACCACGGTGAGAAGCCCACGCACTGCAACGAAGAGTAGTCCCCGCTCGCCACAACTAGAGAAAGCCCTCACGCAGCAACGAAGACCCAATGCAGCCAAAAATAAATAAATAAATAAATTTATTTTTTAAAAAAAAGATAACATTTCAGATCCTCTGGAATCAGAACCTCTCACATGGTGACTCACTTTGTTACCCAGCCGTAAGTGATGGAGAAATTGTGCAATACTTGGTTTTCATTCTTTTTTTTTTTCCTAAGTTTTGGTTTTAAAAATAATTGTACTCATGCATAAAATTTGTGTCCTGCTTTTTTTCACTTATTATATGTGATAACAATTTTGGTATTGTTGTGATGAGTTTTTATTGTTAACACTGTATAATGGTGTGTCCAGAGGATAGCTCCAGCCGCTAGGATACTGTGATGTTAACTTTCTGTGTCAACTAGACTGGGCCAAGGGGTGCCCAGATTAAACATTATTTCTGGGTATGTCTGTGAGAGACAGATGAGATTAGCATTTGAATCAGTGGACTCAGTAAAACAACTCACCGCAATGTGGACAGGCATCATCCAATCCACTGAAAGTCTGAATAGAACAAAGAAGTGGAGGAAGGAGAAATTCGTGCCTTTTGCCTCCTACCTGACTGCTTGAGCTGGGACATCTGTCTTCTCCTGCCCTTGGACAGGGATTTACACCATGCACTCTGGTCCTCAGGCCTTTGGGGATTCAGATTGGACTTCACCACTGGCTTTCCTGGATCTCCAGCCTTCAGACAGTAGATCTTAGGACTTCTCAGCTTCCATAATCACGTGAGCCAATTCCTCATAATAAACCCTATATATAGATATATATACATATACACATACAATTAATTGTTTCGCTGGAGAACTCTGACTAATCTAGACAGTTCCTGCCACATAGTGGGCATTCAATAAATTAATAACTGAATGGCAAATATTAAGAATTACACTTCTAAAATATTTACAATTTTTATAGGCGAGAAATGGAAACTTCTTTGATGTTTGACATTTGCATTACTTTACTATGGAGGATGAATATTTTTATGTGTTTATTGATCAACTGTATTTTCTCTTTTGTGATTTTTTTCATACTTTTTGTGCATTTATCCTTTGGACCCTTGATTTTAAGGAACTCATCACAACTTTATTAATAAAATTTTTGTGATTTTTGTTCCTAAAATAGATGTCATCAAATTAAGGAAAGAACTGGCAAAATAAAAGCAAATCTTTGTAATCACAGAAAGAAAAGTACAAGCAGGAATAAATGTTAGTTCAAATATTTGATGACGTCATCTAGTGGAAAAGTGATTTTAATTTCTCTCTCTGAATCAGAGATTCCCAAATTCCAATGCCCCAAATTTGGTATTCATGGGACTTTATTAAAATATATATTCTAGCCTCCCCTCTACCTGGAGATTTCTAACTCACTTAATGTGTAATAATAACCCAAGAGTTGTGTTTCAATATTATCCACACTGGAAACTCTAAAAATTCCATGTCACTTAAAATTAAGGTTTCCAGTGGTACATTGTGCTTTCCTTTTTCATCAGAATTTTCTACAGCTTCACCACAATAAGGAATTTTGCTGCTCTGATAACATTCTTTAAATGTGTACTCTGTGCCAGCCCCTAGGCTAACGGCTTTACTTGTATTATTTGATTTAATCCCTTCAACAACTCTAACAAGGTAGGTACTATTATTATACCATTTTACCGATGAGAAGATTGAGGCAGAGAGTTTCCCAAGGTCACAGAGCTAATACGGTATGAGCCCAGAGCTCTGTGATGGGAAAGATCACAGCCCTGCCAACAGTCAAGAAAGGACTAACGGTTTTACAATTCTACCCTGTCACCTACATTCAGCTTCGTATACTACATGCAGAAATTAGTTAGATTTCTAAATTAGCGAGGGCTGTGTAGGGACATTTTGCAACTTCATGCTTATATGGTTTGGACTAATACTTCACACACTCACATGTTCCTTAAAACTTGGATGTTGATTGGGGTGTTATAAATTTGAAGATATTTTCCGTATTTTGCTGTTAGTCTCCATTTTTCCCCAATACTAATATAAATTAAACTGATCTGCTTCAAACCTTCTATGTGGATGCAAACTGAAACTAATTTATTTATAACTTGTTAGAAAACCCAGTTGATACTCATCTATCAGCCAGGTGAGGTGAGATGAAGCTAATGAAGCTTGTCTTAAGCATGGGTGTCTGGCCCTACCCACAGGGGTCCAAGGTTCTGGCCTGCACCGCCTGGCCTGGGCCCACTCAGTGCCAGCAGAAGTTCAGCTCTGTGTCCCCATACCTCGCTGAAACTTACCTTTCCTACAGTTCACTCCTTCCCTAGGTATCAACTAACTACACCTGAAAAATTAATTCCTACTACTGCCCTAGTAGGAAATAATGTGAAAGTAACGTAGGAACTTTACAACAGGCCCTTTTGAGGCTACATTCCTGACAACTGCCTATGCCGAAATCTTTTCAGCATTAGTAAACAAAAAGCATCAAATAACGTAGTGGATTTTTTTTTCAATAGAGTGAACAAACAAAATAAAAGTTTCTCTACTTTTACACTGCTGAGTGCAAGAGAAATTTGAATATATAATCTTGTATTTGTACCTCTATATTCCTCACTCCCAACCCTATCTCCGAGGAACACAAAGTGTGAAATGATCAAGACCAACGACGCGAGAAAAGTTTCAATATTTAGCGAAACAAAGGGAAAAGAATGATGACTAACAAAGAATCTCCTAGTACACTGAACTAGGAAGAACAGAGAAAATAAAAGTAGATAACATTAACTGAGCATTAATTTGTCCCAGGCACTTTTCTAAATGCTCTTTGCATGCATTAGCACATTTTAATCCCCAGGAGGGAATTTCATGCGGTAGGTACAATTATTAATCTTATTACACAGATAAGGAAACTGAGTAGTTAGGTCATTTGCTGGAGTTGTGGAACTAGTAAACTACGCACCCCAGAGCCCTAGCACTTATTTACTGCACTATAATAAAGAGATAAAACGTGCATTATTTTCTTGGAGAGTCAGAGGCAAACGGGGGGCGAAAAACCCATTGAATGGATCACTCGTTTAACTAATAGACGCAGTTATTGAGAGTCCTTGCTGTTTCCAAGCTCATTTATAAAAGCAAATTAGGTGTGCTATTATTATTACGCCATAGAGTTCACGATGAGTCCCACAGGGTAAGAATCTGCACATCTTAGAGGTAAAGAGGACTAGTCATTCTTTTCAGGTCCTTAAATGTTTTTAAATGAAAGGAGAAGAAAAAAAAGAAAAAGTCCAAAAGATGCTACAGGAACTGTGGTATAGTAAAGATTTACATAAAACGAAGTAATGTTTTTAACATACCCAACAGGACAGTGTGTTTGAAACCTCATTTTGGTGATAACCACGTAGGTCCAAGTGTAACACTGTGACTCTGAAGTAGGCCACTGGCTTCCTGGCAACCCTGCGATAGGCTCTGGTGAAAACTCAAGACACCCTGCCCCCCTCCCCGCCTTAAGCACCGGTTTCGTTTGCAACGCAAACGCGCAGAAGCTGCACGCCGCGCTCTCAACTACCGAGCGGTGTCGCAGCAAAAGCAGTCGGGTCCGGAGGGTCCTCGGAACCAAAGCGCTGGCCTCCACCTGTCGGGGGCAGCGTTTCCGGAGCACCGGGGAGGCGGGGCCTGGCCGCTGGGGCTGGACTCCCGGGCAGCGCCTGCAGCGGCGCGGGTGGTCACGGGCGCGCAGTGGCCCGGTCGCGGGCTGCCAGGCCATGCCGCGCGCAGTTTGCGGCCGGCTCGCCTCAGCGCTGCGGGGGACACGCGCACAGCCGCCCGCGGTCGCCCAGAGGTGTGTGCACGCGTCGGTGTCGCGGCCGTCCCCAGACCAGAGCGAGCGGACGCGGAAACCGCCCCGCGCCTTCGACCCAGCGCTGCTGGAGTTCCTGGTGTGCCCGCTCTCCAAGAAGCCGCTCCGGTGAGGTTCGCCCGCGGCGGGTTTTCCGTCGCGGCCTCCCGTCGCGGGGAGGGGGGGGCGGGTGGACCGCCGCCGAGCAGACCTGGCAGGTCACTCCGGGCATGTTCTTGGCTGCCATTCCTTGGCCCCGGGGTCTCCCGCGGCGTGGGGAGGGGAGGCGGGAGGCCGGCGGCGCGCCGAGCCCCAGGCCTCCCACACCGAACCGCCGACTCGCCGGCGCGGGCCAGAGCGCGTGTCGGTTCTGCCCTGGCCGCGCCTTAGAATCGCCAGGGAACCTTTTTAAAAATGCAGATTTCCAGGCACCCCAGGGCGGGTCGAATCGTTCGGAAGGCCCGCGGGCGGGGCTTGAGCAATGGCGCATTTTCTTAAAAGGACGCGAAGGGTTTCTCACGGAGAGCCGGGTTTATGAGCTCGTAGGACTCAAGACTAGTCCACGGCGTTCCGAATTTTAAGCCAAGGCGATGAAAAATGCAGTGGCCTCCAGAGTCTTGTGAAAACGCCGTGTACGGCCTTAAGCGTGTAAGCGAGGGGTGCCGCCTTTTTTTGGCTTTCAGTCCTTGAGTAGATGGCTTTTGTAAAGGCCTTCTTAACCTTTAACGTAGAGTCGTTAGGGTGAACACTCTACCGTGCCAGGCTGCTGACTCGGAACCCTGACACCAGGAAACACCGAAATGGCATCAGCCGTAGTCTTGGGGTGGCAGATTGCTAGTAATCTTTATTTTCATCTTTTAAAATTTCTCTTTCAGGGTTTTTCTCATAACGAACATATGACTCACTCAGTTTCCTTAAACCTTGAAATTACCATTTGATCTCCCTCTTAGCTAATTGCGTAAACAGCTCACTTGCAGATAACGCTGCGTTCCGGAGTTTCCTCATTTCTGCACTCTCATCTCTCTCACGCTTCTGTGTGTTTCGAGTTTTCAGTGGTTTCCTTTTAATGGATCAATAAGGCTGCTCTATTAAGCATGTACTATAAAATGAAGAAGTTGAAATTTCCTGTAGGGTCTGTTCCAGTAGTAAATGAAGGGGGATTGTTTGGGGGTTGAAAAAAGTAATGAAGGAAGATTTGGATGGAAAGGGCAAATCTTTTCTGACTGGTATTTTTAAAAACTGAGGCATGGCTTGGGACTAAAGTGAAAATGAGAGAAACTGACTAAAATGGGAACAATTAAGAGATTCATTTTCTAAGAGAAATGGTTCGATGATCTATTACTGCTTTTAGAATGAAAAGCAGTCTAATTCTGCTTTTCTGGGATTAACTCTTATGTTAAGAACTGGATAAACGTTACTGTTTATTGAACATCAAGCTCTTCCAAGCATTTTGTTCTCCACGATTCATTTTGTTTTTCTTTCTCCCCCTCAGATATGAAGCATCGACAAATGAATTGATTAACGAAGAGTTAGGAATAGCCTATCCAATTATTGATGGGATTCCTAATATGATACCACAGGCAGCTAGGATGACACGTCAAAATAAGAAGCAAGAAGAAATGGAGCAGCAGTAGATCATACTTAAAAACGACAACACACACAACTAACTTTTCTAAATACCACCCACCTTTTAAGAAGTCAGAGTGGCGGGTAATAAGTGGAGGAGAAGAATGTTTCTGTCTCTTCCTACGTTGACTGTCCTTATTCCACTGGTCTCGTTAGCAGGGCTGTTGTACTCGGCCTCTGTGGAAGACAACTTCCCACAGGGCTGCACTAGCACAGCCAGCCTGTGCTTCTACAGTCTGCTCTTGCCGATTACCATACCCGTCTATGTGTTCTTCCACCTTTGGACTTGGATGGGTATTAAACTCTTCAGGCATAATTAATACAACCAGAGCCAAGATGGTGTATCCTCGTGATATGCTTGAGTGTCTGCCTCTGAAAGCCCAACTACCTGGAAATACTGGACACCCACTGAATTTGCACGAAAGATGCTTTGCCTGGCTTCTGTCAGGGGTTTAGGACTAGGGGAGGCCTAAGCTGCAGAGGCTTCTTGATTGTACTTTGGTTCTGCCCTTGTGTTTTGAAGGTTCTCATTTATACCTGGGGTATCAGGAGAAACATTTCAGCAAAGTGCCTTGTTGGAAATTAATAGCCCCAGCCGTCACCTGATGACTTTATTTCTTATCCCATTCATAATTAAAAGTTAGTAATTTGAAATCTTACACGTTTATTTTACATTCAGAGTCTGGTCACATGTTAAGGATGACTGAAATAATTCCAGAGGCGCTCTGTTGGGGCAGCTGTAGAGAAATGCATTTGAACTAATGTGGTATAAAACTGTAATAAAATGGAAACCATGTATTTGCCGAAATTCGGAGGTTGTAAAATTACCTTCATTTCTTTGGCATCACATGCTTACATTAATAATAATATATTGACATTTCCTATAAAACAATTTGTAGTTTTGTGGGGTTTTTATCCCCTTTGGTCACTAGAGTGTGATTCTAAGGAAGAGAAAATGTAAAATATTCTAAATTTTAAACTTAGAATTTTAGAGAGACACATAATAGCCAAAATAGAATAATTTCCCAGGAAAGTATGTGCCCCTGGAGGTAGAGGTGGGGTTGAAAGATGTGCAAATAGCTGATTATGTCCTACTGAGTTGAGGGCTACGTTTTGAGGCACATTTCAGTTTATTTTCCTGCCACAGGAGACCTATTTAAATAGCACTACTGAGGGCATGAGCATTTTACACATTAATAGTTCCTGATTTTCCAGAACTTTCAACAAGATTGATTAGTACAATAACTCTTTCAGAAGTGTAACATAAATATTTCAGTAGTTACCCTTAAGAAACCTAAGAACTGAATATAACCTTAACTGATTCTTAATAGAACCTTAAAGTAGTTTAATAGAACCTTTAGATAGTGATTCTTCCCCTTCAAAAGACAATTAAAACAAGAGGTTGGATGTGTTTCCTGTTGCATTAATTCAATGTATATACTGTAGTACAAGTCACGTTTTAAAAACTATGGCAAGGACTTCCCTGGTGGCACAGTGGTTAAGAATCCGCCGGCCAATGCAGGGGACACGGGTTCGAGCCCTGGTCCGGGAAGATCCCACATGCCGCGGGGCAACTAAACCCGTGCGCCACAACTACTGAAGCCCACCCACTCTAGGGCCTGCGTGCCACAACTACTGAGCCCACGTGCTGCAACTACTGAAGCCTGCATGCCTAGAGCCCGTGCTCCACAAGAGAAGCCACCGCAATGAGAAGCCTACGCACCGCAACGAAGAGTAGCCCCCGCTCGCTGCAACTAGAGAAGGCCAGTGCGCAGCAATAAAGACCCAATGCAGCCAAAAAAAAAAAAAAAACTCTATGGCAATATACAAATAACATGGAAGACAACAGAGGTATGCATCGTTTCCTGAAATGGCATTGTTTTTCTTTTTAATTTGCCCTAAATCTCACTATGGTCAGTGTAAATGAAAGAATTCTGCTGATAAAACAAGCACTGTGTTCTGAAATCGACTGGCAATGACTGCACGATTCTGTGACTATACTAAGCCCATTGAGTTGTACAATGTACATGGCTGGATGACATGTTATGAGACTTGTACATCAATAAAGCTGTTACCCAAACCCCAGAAAAACAGTATCTGTATGTTCGGCATAAGGTTCAGTGGTTCTGAGTCACTTGCTGGAGTCAAGTGTTAGAGACACGGACAAGAATGGAATATAGGTCTGCTGAATTTTGTCTACCACATGGTGCTGCTTCCAGTGGCCCCCTGAGATACGACACACTTTCTTGGGAATTCTCCAGCAGTTTTCTCACGTTCCTTTCCTAAGTTCCTCACAAGCACATCATCCTCGCTTTCTGTCCGTTATGGGGATTCCTGCACCAGCTTCCCGTTACAGAATGCCACGCACATCACGACACTGACCTCACCACCTACAGCTGTCGCAGTGTAAACCCACCGTGAGAAATACGGCCTGATTCTTTCACTAACTGGGACTTCTCCCCACTCTTCCTCCCCAATAATTAGCCGACTCCACAGTGGCAGGGACCTCCTGCCTCCCCAGAGCCTCTCAGCAAGACTACCTTGCCTACTGTCCTCACCGCATCACTGTCGGGGGCCACCTTTAGCCACCTTGTGAATAAACTCCTTCCCACCAGCTTTCTAAGAGGGGTTTTCCACCCTGAGGGAGCAAGAAAGGACTGGTCACGACCTACTTTCCCTCTTCATTTTCTTCCATTTCTCCCACTGCAGAGTGGGCTTTTAAGGAAGGCTCTTTGAACTTCAGACTCTGCATCTGTGACATGGAAGTTGTCACAGACCTGGTGGGAGTTTTACGTGAGGCAGGAAATAAGAAATTACATGGTACAGCCAAGAGCCATAGTAGAGTCTCACTGTGTGTGGAAAGGGGACGGGCGTTTTGTGCCACTTACTGGAACGCTCCATTTGGAAGTGACTGCTATCTTCTGCACCAGCCACTAGGTGGCACTTCCAGCTAACTCCTGGGACCACGGGCAGCTAAGCTCTGGGAAGGAAACTGAAAGAAGACTGTAGTTGGGGAATTCTGAGCTAGGTAGCCATATTCCACAAACTTATTAATTCACTCTCATGGCATCTACTAGACAGGCCTGACAGCTGCAGCGAATCCTGAGAAACGACTGGGAATAACCCAGACAGAGGAGGAGGTGGAACTGAAGACAGGAGGAAGCAGGAGGGGTGCAGGTGGGGTGAGCAGAGGGTTCCAGGCAGAAGAAAAACCATGTGTGAAAACACAGGAAGGAGTCTGCAGCCTGTTCAGGAAACTGAGCTGGTTACAAACGACAAGAATGGGGTACACTGTGTATGCAGGGCTGTGGGGGAGACCAGGAGGCACGTCGGGATGGATTTGGGAACTAGAATAACAGTGTTAATGAGAACGGACGTTATTGCTTGATTTGAAAATTGTTTTGATATATGCAGCTGATATGGCTCTTCTTCCCAGAAAAAGGGAAAGAAAAAGCACATGCAAACTTGCAGAGGTTTCGTGTGTCGTGGACCCCCGGGGTGACACGTGCTCAAATCTGCACCAATACCGTAGCCACCAGTCACATGCAGATACTCAGCACCTGAATTTTCAATCTCATTTTAGCTAAATAGCCGTACATTGGACAGCACAGTTCTACACTTTTTCTGCCACTACTACCAACGAAAGTTTTCTCTCTTCAAAATTCTTCAACAGCTAAACCTTAACTACAGCAGGGGTCCATCTTATTCAACGGCGCAGATCTAGATTTCTAGCCTCACGGAAAGTTCTACTGGACAGTGTTGGTCTAGATACAAGGAGACCAGTTGAGAGACAACCGCAGCGAGGGGAGAGATGGTGAGAGCCTGAACTAAAGCACTGGCAGTGGGCTTAGAGGGAGATGAGAATTAGAATTGTCAAAACCTGACTGATACTTTTAACGTAGGGAGGGAAGGAGAGGGTGGAAAGGAAGATGGCGGTAGGAGGGATCGGTGGTACCATTCCAAGCTGAGTACAGGAAGATGGCCATCTTCTTCTTGAACACGCTGCGATGAAGGAGCTGAGAGGCATGCAGGTAGACACAGGCCACGCAGAACGATGGCTGCAGTGCTGGACTCTTATCAGTTCCTGTCAGGCAAAGAGAGAGAGAGATCTGGGTACCATCAGCATGGAAGTCATAACTGACTCCATGGCGACGACGAGTACGTGCAGACTGGGAAAAGACGCCCACGCTAGCACTTCAGGCTTTAGGTCGAGGGAGTGTAAGAGAAACATGCAAAGGAAATGAGGAAGCAGCGAAGAAAAAAGAAAGCCTAGCAGTTCATGAGAGTTTTGAGGAGAAAGCAGTCAACAGTTTCAAATGCAATAAATACCTTTAAGATGGAAATGGGCAAGTTTCCATTGAAATTTGCAACAAGAAAGTCATTTGTGACTTTTACTAGAGCAGTGTGAGAGGGAGAGCCACCACGTCAGCCCCTGGACGCACCACCCAGACGTTTATGAGGTAAGAAAATCCCTCCCGTCTCACTTGATGCACTGGGTTTCAGGGTCACCTTGTTTTAACAGCCTAATCTGTATCACTACTAATACATCTTACATGCAAAAACAGCCATTCTAAAAAAGCGGGTAAACACACTGAACAGTCGGCAAGACTTTTATGTTCACTTCTGAGTTAACTTTATTTTTGAAAATATTTCCCGAAAGGGGGAAAGCGTGAGAGGTACAGTCAGCCGAACCCTCTGTTGCTGTTGATGGCTACTTGCAGCGCTTCTTCTACTCTTTCCATTGTAGAGTATTTAGGGAGGTAGAGGACACTGAAACACGTCTGTGCCCTTATGGGATCTTTCTCATTCAAATCTTCAGGACAGCAAAATGTTATTTTCATGTTCTTTAAGCCTATTAATTGAATTCTGTCCGTTCCTGTAAGAAACGCTACAAAAGAAGAATCAAAATGAGTGACCTGCTTCACAGAGACCAAAATTTACAGAGAGAAAAATGTGTTTGTTCAGAGACACTAATTGAGGGCCCCTGGGCAGAGTCCTACATTGGACTGCATTGGGGACCACTGTTAGCACAAAGTCTGACACAGTCACCGCCCTCAAGGAGCTTACAGTCTGGCTGGGAATATCAGATTCTTGAGCAGGAAAAGACAAACGGCAAGAGAAAAATAAAAGGGTGTAAGACAGCAAACAAGGTGGCATGGAGTTAAATACCTGCTGAGTGTAAATGCTGTGGTTCAGAGCAGGGAGAGAGAATCAGGCTGGGATGACCGGGAAGGCTTCCGAGAGTTCGGAATGAAGTTGAACCTTTAAAGGAGGGAAAGGTTTAGAGAGGCCACAAGGAGGCAGGTGAAGGTTCAAGGAACGGAAGGAGAAAGCTGGAGGTGGGAGGTGCAGAGTAGGCTCTAGAATGTACAGACAAGGGGACTGTTTGGCTGGAACAAAGATTTCCTGTAAGCGTTAAGACTGGAGAGTTAGGTTGGGCTTCTGGAGAAGTCTGAATACGTTCCAACACCCATGTTATCCACAGAAAAAAGAATGAGCAGATAAACATTTCTCAAAAATAAGCTAAGGAAGTTGAGTAAGAAAATGAGAGAGGAAGTCTTTAGACAGGTCTCAGGAAAAGCACCGAGTAGGCATAAAACTGAGCTCAAAGTCTGAAGCTGAGGTAAAGGAGTGGACACAAATGACGGTACACAGCCTGGCTCATCCCACAGGGCCTGGGTAACTGAACGGTGACTCAACTACAGGAGAAGCCTCCATATTTAGCTCAAAGAAAAGAAGAAAAATTTAGAAGCAAGGCAGAATTGAAAATGACAGGAGAAAGACCTATATTAACATTTGTTTTTTGATGTTGGGACAACCTGGCATAAAGGACCTTCCACTGGGCTAGGAGCGGCTCTGACAGCATGATTTGTTGCAAATGGTACCCATGACACACAAGATTTCCTTACCTCACAGAAAAGACACGAGATTATAGATCTCCTCCTGATGCAATACTCACCAAGGAATTTTTTCTTTTCCTCCGAAGTCAATTTGTGTAAGGCCTTCCAAAACATCACTATGGTGGGATGTGAACTGTCATATCCTTGTTCGTAACGTGCATTCTAGAGAAAATGCAAAAAAAAAAAATTCAGGAAACAAGCAAACAGAATTGTAATTCAAACCACTTGGCCTTTATGATGTACCTTTTCAAATGTTTCCCAGTCGTAATCTGTATTTCCAATAATCACATCCTTGAGTTCTTCCGGATGGAAAAATTCAATAATCTCCTTGTCGCACACTTTGTAAAATCCTCTTTGAAACTCTTCATAAACCGCCTTTACAGAGATGTTGAAGATGTAACTGACATACTTAGAAACATAGTCTCTCCTTTAATGAAACAAGAGATGATTTCAGGTTACTGCACTATCCTGAACAAAACTGGGGGAGGGGATGAAAAGGATGATAGAAATAAAGGAAGAGACAGTGGCCTTGGGGTCCTCCTGGCAGCTGCTGCAAAACCTTCCCCAAACAAGGGGAAGGCGGCTACCTGCGCCATCTTTGCAGAGTTGCCGGTGTGCAGCCCCCTGATTCTCGAAGGAGGGTCTGCAGTGCCACGAGGGGGCTTGAGACATCCACCAGCGTGTCAGTCTTGAATAAAGCGCGAGAGCTTCGGAAGTCCAGCTGGGGCGGTGCCCCTTCACAGAGATTCAGGGCTAGCCTGGTGACTGAAGGCCTAAGGTTTGCAATTCTCTTGGAGAAGTGCTGTTGGGATGGCTGGTGTGCCCGGGCAATGGTTCCTGCCACTGCAACAACAGGCTGGGACAAGAAGTGGAGAGCAGCGTGCCTTCTACCCGGGGACTCTGAATTCTGCTGACACAAAGGATGTCCTCCATCTGGTGTTGGACAGATCCTAGGAACTTTACATCTCTCCTGCATGAACCCATGTGAGCAGCTGTCAACCTCTGGGGGATGGGGGGAGGGGACTGCCTAGAAATTTGGGGGCCAAAATGAATTAGGCGGCCTTTACTTGGTCTTATCAAAAGGATACCAATAAAATATTCTAAAGCAGAAAAAAAAAAAGTAAAAGCTAGAACATCTAATAACTGGGTGCTTACCATGTGCCATGAACTGTTAGAGCTGTTTTTTTCATGTATTGTCTAATTTAATCTTTGTAAAACTCTGCAAGGCAGGTTCTTATGGCATTTTGGTAAAGAGGAAAAGAAACTGAGACACAGTGAAGGTACGAGATTGCTCAAAGTCACACAGTTAAGAGAACTGACAGATAAGAAGAGAAAAATTTTGGAAGAATAAAACCGTCCCTGTTATCTCTGGAGAATGGGCTAGGGAGACAGGGGAAACTTCCTATTTTATACTGTTTTGTATTGTCTGAATTTGTCAGAGTGAGTAATTATTTGTGCTTAAACACAAACAAAGAGGGGATTTATACATCTAGCTATGATGGAGTAGCTTGTAGCAAATGTTCCCAGCGATAAGAACTAGAAAAACCCAGGTAATATACAAAAGCACATCTAGCTCCAGGTTTCCAAACCTAAGTCAAGACTCAAGAGGGCCTTTGGACTAAGAGACAAGGGAAGCTCCCCGAGGTGAGCCCAGCACTTAGCTTGCAGTTTCTGCCTTTGGGCACATTTGCCAATTCTTTCAGGGAAAGGGGCCAGGCATTCAATAATACTATGGACAAACTGGGGTATCGTCATAAAATACACCACAGAGCTAGAAATGTTCCATTTCTTGATCTGAATGCTTCTAATTTTGAACTTGTCTGTATGTTATAATACCAAGTTTTTTTAAAATAAAGAATGCTCACTCGATATTTCTTTGCCACTCTGACCAACTATCAGGGGAGCGTTCTATAATCGCAAACTCTATGGCTCTAAACGGCATCCCATAAAGTATTGGGAAGTCAAGATACCACAGTAACATCTAATAATATTAACAAAACTAAGCGCCTGCTGTGGACCAGACACCACTGTGGACAACTCCAGGCACTGGATAAACAACGGTGAGCAAGACAGACCAAGACCCTGCCATCACGCAGCTCCTCAGAGCTACGGAAACACTGATAAGGAAACAAGCAAAACTCCTAAAGGTAGGTAACGTGTGATGTGAAAAGGTAAGGGGGTAAAGAGAGAGCTCAGTGGTATAATCCTAGACAGGAAGATGAGGGAAGGCCTCTCCAAGAAAGCCATTTCCTTCCCAGCCAGCATACGAACCCTAGGAGACACACACATACATACAACATGAACTGACTCTCCGCCTTTTCGGAAAATGATTGAGAAAGGAAAATAATAATTACAAGGAATTTTTAGAGCCCAGCGAAATAAATGCAGTGTATAAACAAAACAAATACTTCACGTCTTTGTACCTACTTGTTAGCGTGGTCGACAGTTATGTGACTTCCGTTAGGAATTAAGTCTACATCATTTTTGTCCCAATGCACCTGTAACCACAAATGAACTCAGTATCTCCGAGACAATCCCGAACAATATACTATCAACAAAAACACTCTGGAGCATACCTCTTTTCCTCAAACCAGCAAGGTGGTAAAAAATTACCACCTTTACCATGCAGAACGAAAACTAAGTTTCTAAAAGAACTTGAATTATCTATTTTAACTGATCATATTGAATAAATTAATCGGACAGTTGCCATAGCTCAGCATTCACTTTACACACTACAGACCTAGTATGGTAGATTTGCAAAACATGGCCATAGATTCCTCCCATCCTGCTATCTACGCAACGTGATTGTGCAACACCTCCCATCAAGAGGGCGAGTCTATTCGGCTCCCGAGTCCGAGCGTGGCCACGTGAAGTACTTTAGCCCACGGGACCTGACAGGAGCAAAAGCTTGAAGGGCAGCTGGTGTGCCGGGGCTTGCCATCTCCTACTCGCCATGACCCTGCGACCACTCGTGAAGAAGCCTCAGCTAGCCTACTGGAGGATAAAAGGCCACTAGAACAGAGACAGCTGTTCCAGCTGACACCCCCTCAGCCATCCGGCCTGCTGGCCACCAGGTGTGTAAGCAAGGCCACTGTGGGCCAGGCGGCCCGCCAAGTCAGCCCAGTCCAGACACCCACAGAATCGTGTCTGCTGCTTTAACCCACTAAGCTTAGGCGTTGTCTGTTCCTTGGTAAGATCTAACCGATACACCCAGCTCATGAAAAATGAGGAAGAACACCTTCTGTACTAGCTTAATTCCGTGTGGTTTTTTATTAAAGGTAAGTATAAAAAAGGTTCATCCGATGAAATAGGAGCTGTAATTTGATTTTTACTGTTACTCACATTAAAATGGATGTGGAATACTTCTCCAAGGTCATCGCCTTCATCATCCAGAAGGGTCTGCAAACTCCTGAAGAACAAATGATTTTATTCTTCAGATGTCAATAATCATGATGGCTAGAAACATCATCTAAAACAAATGTCAAGGGCACGCTTATTCCCAAGGTGGGAGGTCAGGTTCAGTTCACAGAACCTGCTTCTGTGTACTGAGACTCTAACTCGGGTCTGACCTCAGCCAAAAGTGCGACATTTGGAGGTTTCTTTGCAATTCTGCAGGCTCCTCACACAATTCCCAGCTCTCTTCCCTCCACCCTATCCGGCTCACCCAGTGACAGCAGGTTCCTAATTCAGAGAAGGATCACTAACATGCTTATTGATTCTGAAACTCATTCACACTAGTGTTACCTTTCTTTAAGCTTTTAATAAACATTACTTACAGAATAATAGATTTCCTTTTAATTATCAGGTATCACTTGAAATTTTTAGGAGTGGGTGGGTCAAAGGGCCTTCTCTATACCTCCTGTCCCAATATCTTCAAGCTTAAGACAGACCTGAAATTTGACCACCTTAACTGTGTCAAGGCATCTGTGAGAACAGAGGTTACGTCAGAATGGAGAGCAGCCTGTCTTTATATTTCCACCTTTATAAATACTTTTATTTTTCTTAATTTTTTATTTTTTGGCCAGGCCACGCAGCATGCGGGATCTTAGTTTCCCCGACCAGGGATCGAACCTGCGTGCCCTGCACTGGAAGCGCGGAGTCTTAGCCACTGGACTGCCAGAGAAGTCCCTATAAATACTTTTAAAGTAATACAAGGCATACTATATTATGTGCTCCCTCACTCATTTATTCATTCAACAAACATTTATTAAGTATCTGGTATGGCAGGGATAAGGGACGTAAAGCTGAGAGTAAGACATTATTATTGATTAAATCCTGAGACTTACAGGTAAGATATGCTGATAAAAATCTTACTACAGTGCTGTCAGCTATGTGCAGCTAGGAACGATGTAAATGGTACAGGTACAACTTGGGAGAGCTTGGTTAACTCCTTCTGAAGGGATGCGTGTCATCGGGGAAGACCTCTGGGAGAAGGTGGAATCCAAGTTGATTCCTTTTCCCTGCTGGATTTTTTATTACCATATTGTGCCAAAATGTTGGATACTTTTTTTCTTTTTTTTTTTTTGGCCATGCCACGTGCCACATGGCTTGTGAGATCTCAGTTCCCCGACCACGGACTGAACCCAGGCCACGGCGGTGCAAGTGCCAAGTCCTAACCACTGGACCGCCAAGGAATTCTCTAAAATGCTGGATCTTTTATTATGGTATCACGATAAAAACAGACCATGTTTAACTGTGCTTTGGGGGGGTTGAGGGAAAGTAATGGGAACCCAGCTGACAAAACTGGATTCATCATAAACTTGGCTCAAGATACTCTGTCTTTATATGTCCCTGTACAGCTCGTTTGCTTATTTATGGGTATGTTTATGAAGAACACCTGTGAACCTGACTCCCCAAACAAGAACTAAAACATTGCCAGGATCTTATACCTACCTACAGGGGGTACCTCCCTTATCCCATTTTTCTACCACCCCCAAAATGTTATACATGTATCTACAGTTTGAAGAGTATCTTTTCTCTTTGCTAAGGTATCTCCTGATGAACAGAGAACTTCTTTCATCTTATTGCACTTAAATTTATCAATCTTTCCTTTAACGTTGGTATTTTTATGTCTTGCTTGAGAAATCCCAGTGGTGAGAAAGATAACTGTCCATATTTTCATCATCGTTGCATTCAGTATTCAAGTCCCTTATCCACACAGAGTTGATTCTATTATGTGATGTACGGTATCTGTTCTCCTTTTTTTCCCAGGTGCATTAATTGAACAGTACTTCTGTTCCCACTGATCTAATATACTACCTCTAACAAACTTCCATGTGTATAGGGTTCTATGCTCTCCTGTACCATTGGAAAGCTTGCACCAATATCATACTGCCCTAATTAATACAGCTTTCTAATGACTCTTGATATCTGCTAGGCCAAGCTCCCCATCCTTATTCACCTTGCAAATTATTTTTGGCTATTCCTGGCCCCTTGTTCATCCATATACATTTTAAATCAGCCTTTTTTTTTTTTTTTTAAGCCTGCTGGGATTAAAATAGGAGTTTTGTTGAATATAGAGATCAGGGATTCTCAAAGCATAACCAAGACCAACAATTTCTGGGAATCCCTGAGGTCTTTACAGGGGGGTCCACAAGGTCAAAACTAATTTCATACTACTACTAAGACGTTACTTGCCTCCTTCACATTCTGTCATGAGTACAGAACAGAGTTTTCCAGAGGCTATGTGACAGCTAACAGAATGAGCATGTATTCCTGTATTTAAAACATTTATCACTTTTAATTTCTAATATTATAAATACTGACAAATGTAACCGATATAAGTAAAAGCTCTTTGGGGTCCTCTCTTAATTTTTAAGAGAGTCTTAAGACCTAAAAGTTTGAGAAATGCTAATATGGATTTAGTGGTCTTTATTCAGTTTATGTATATTAAGTTATTTAGTTTATTAAATCTTCTTAGGCATAAGCATTATTTATGTCATTTTCAATGTTTTCAGCAAAAAATGACAAACTTATCTACTCCTTTCCAAATTTGGTGCTTTCAATATTTTTGTCCTTATCTTACTAGTATAATAAGTATAACGATTAATAGTTGGATTCCGGAGCCAGTGTCTGTGTTCCAACCATAGTTCTGTCACTATGGGATCTGGGGCAAGTTACCTAACTTTCTTCCCTTTCAGTTTCCTCATCTGTAAAATAGGGATAATAATAATAACAGAATCATACTACTGTTCTCATTCTTTTAGAAATCCCCACAGTATTCCATTGCATAAATATACCAAAAACATTAATTCCCTCACTGAAGAGCATTTAGGTAGTCTACATATTATAAACTATCTAATACAATGTGCGTTAGGAGACATATCTGCACGATTGCCTATTTCTAAATGTGAAATGTCTAGAGGTAGAATTGCTGGGTCAAAGCAGCAAACATGTTTTTTTTTATTCTAAGCACAGTAGTCCCCTCTTAGCCATGGTTTTGCTCTCCAAAGTTTCAGTTATCTGTGGTCTACTGCAATTTGAAAACATTAAATGGAAAACTGCAGAATAATTCATCAGTTTTAAATTGCAGGCCGTACTGAGTAGTATGATGCAATCTCTCACCATCCCTCTTTGTGCGGTAAATCATCCCTCTGTCCAGCGTATCCCACCTGTTGGGCATTCAGTAGCTGCCTCGTGACCACTGTGGCACCACAGTGCTTGCATCCACGCAACCCTTATTTTACTTAATGACGGCCCCAAAGAGCAAGAGTAGTGATGCTGGCAATTCGGATGGGCCCAAGAGAAGCCGTAAACTGTATGTTTTAAGTGAAAAGGTGAAAGTTCTCAACTTAATAAGGAAAGAAAAAATCAGACGCTGAGGTGGCTAGGACCTACAGTATGAAAGAATCTTCTATCTGGGAAACTGTAAAGAAGAAAAAAGAAATTCATGCTGGTTTGCTCTTGCACCTCCAACTGCAAAAGTTATGGCCACAGTGCATGATAAGTGCTCAGTTAGGATGGAAAAGGCATTAGATTTCCTCAGTAAGACATTTTGAGAGAGGGAAACCACATTCACATAACTTTTATTACAGTATATTATTATAATTGTCCTATTTTATTATTAGTTATTGTTAATCTCATAGTGTGCCAAATTTATAAATAAAGTTTTATCCTAAGTATGTACGTATAGGAGAAGACATGGTATATATAGCATTCGGTACTATCTACGGTTTCAGGCATCCACTGGAGGGCTTGGAACGCATCTCCTGCAGATAAGGGGGAATACTGTACTGCCATACTGCTCTCTGACAAGGAGTTACCAATTTACAATTAATTCCACTCACAATTCTTGATATCAGAGTGAACCTTCTCCCAAATCCTTGCTGACACTACGCAGCATCAGTATTTCCAACCACTGTCAATTTGAAGTCCATATTAGCCTCTCACTTTAATATGCATTCCATGATCACTTAATTTATGATTATCCGTGATCATCTTAATTTACGAACCATTTCTATTGCTTCTTTTGTAGGTTACTTTCTTGTATACTCTGTCAATTTTTCTTATGGATGTGCAGGAACGCTTTATTCAGCAGGGGTATTAACCCTTTCTATTATATGTTACCAATATGTTTCGTGAGGTGGTGGCTTGTCTTTTAACTTAGAAATAAGTTTTCATTTTAAAGAGGATGACATAAAACAACTTTTAAAATAAACATCAGGACTTCCCTGGTGGCACAGTGGTTAAGAATCCGCCTGCCAATGCAGGGGACACGGGTTCAAGCCCTGTTCTGGGAAGATCCCACATGCCATGGAGCAACTAAGCCCGTGTGCCACAACTACTGAGCCTGCGTGCCTAGAGCCCGTGCTCTGCAACAAGAGAAGCCACCACAGTGAGAAGCCCGCACACCGCAACGAAGAGTAGCGCCCGCTCGCTGCAACTAGAGAAAGCCCACGCACAGGGACGAAGACCCAACACAGTCAAAAGTAAATAAATTTTAAAAAAAACAAAACAAAAAAACAACTTTGGAAAACATGTCTCTTTAAAATAAATAAGTAAATAAATAAATAAAACGAAATAAAATAAGCATCACTTGCAGGTTTTGCACCAAGGTGTAACCTGTGCTCTGTCATGACTGTCTCTACTCAAATAAACCAAAGGTTAATGAAAACAGTGAGGACCGACTATACGAAAAACCAACTTTTCTTAATTTTAGAAAGTTCAATTATTATCTAACAATTTGACAAAGTTAGAATCAGTCTAAAACACCCAGAATGCTACTATTGAACACGAAAATACTACTGGAATGTGTGTGTTTAATTATTTATCTAAATATATGTCAGACAGGGTTCTGAAAAAGGAACTACGTTAACTTACTGTCCCAGAACAGGACTGAGTTCTTTCAAGTCTTCTAACGATGGCACTTGGTCCAAAAGTTTCTTAAACAGAGCCAGTGGGAAAGGGATGTTGGCAACATTGCGACTGAACAGGCAGAGTCCACACAGAACCCCAAAGAAGAAATAACTCTTCTTCTCAAATTTAGGCTGAAAAGAGGAAAAAAAAAAACCTTAACGTATTATGAATTTTTACCAGTACAATGGAATATTTACATTAGGTAAACCATTTCTCCCCTTTCACAAAATCAAATCACAAATTAAAACGAAAAATCTTGAGATAAGAATACTTAGGGTTTATATTCAATTATTAAGTCAATTTAAATCCCTGCCACAGTTTTGGTTACTGGAAGCATCAATAGTATGGGGGTGAGGAGACAGGAGAGATGTTGTTCAGGCGGAAAAGCTGCAATGAGTAGCAAATGAATCCTAGAGTTCAAAAGCACAGCACAGTGAGTATGGATAACGATACTGTATTACAATCATCAAACCTGCTATGGTACTAGATCTTAATTATCCACCACCGAAAAGAAATAATTATGAGATGTGATAAAGGTGCTAATTACCACTACAATGGCAATCATACTATAATATAAATATATCAAATCAACATGTGGTACACCTTAAATTTATACAATGCTATATGTCAAACATATTTCAATAAAAAATAAAAGTATTAACAGGAATAGAAACACCTTAGGCTCAGTAATCCTTATAAACAAAGTTTTTGCAATTTCTTTTCATAGGCTGTATCTTCAAATTCATTGGGGAAACAGAACAAAGAATGAGTGCCTAAGAAAGGAAGGGTTCATTTTTACCTATACATTCTAGAAATGGTCAATACATATATATTGCTTAAATTCTCTTGTGTGGACTTGGGAACCCAGGGCAAGAGGACCCCCATTTTAGAGAAAATAATCACTTTTTTAGAATTAAAAGTTATCTCCATAATTACATCAATAATTCCTCTCCCATAATACAACAGTCTAGACAACCTAATTTTCTATGGTAAATCCCCATACCTTTTCTCTCAGGAAACACCTACACCAAGGAAAGAGGACTTACCTTGACAGGAAACCACATGTAGGAAGCCTCTTCAGGATATGTGAACATCCCATATTCTGGCCGGGTCATTTCTTCAAAGAGACAATGGAAAAACTCTGCTCTGACTCCTCCAGCGTCATATCCAATTTCTCCACTAAATGAAACCTAAAGAAACAGAGCAAATAATGCATCACTTCCAGAGCTCTGTACTGCTACGCATTAAATCTCATTTAATAACTATTTGTGGACCCCAGTATTTGGGAGGTACTGGGGTAAGCAAATTACTTGTGTTAGCGCATTGAATTTTCTTACGAATTCTAGGAGGCTCATGAGGCTTCAAGAATTTAAATAACTTTCCCAAGGTTATACAGCTGCTAAGACTTTTTTAAAAAATAAATTTATTTATTTTTATTTTTGGCTGTGTTGGGTCTTCGTTGCTGCGCACGGGCTTTCTCTAGTTGCGGCGAGTGGGTGCTACTCTTCGTCGTGCTGCGTGGGCTTCTCATTGCGGTGGCTTCTCTTGTTGCGGAGCACGGGCTCTAGAGCGCAGGCTCAGTAGCTGTGGCTCGCGGGCTTAGTTGCTCCGCGGCATGTGGGATCTTCCTGCACCAGGGCTTGAACCCGTGTCCCCTGCATCGGCAGGCGGATTCTTAACCACTGCACCACCAGGGAAGTCCCCAGCTGCTGAGACTTAATCCTACGGGTGACAAACCTGAGAGCCTGAAGTCTTCACCACTAAACTGACCTCAACTGGCATCATTTTTATAATCATCAGGTACATCAAGTATAATGAAAGTAAACATAAAGAAATCATAAATATCAGAATTTTCAAAAAAACTGAAACACCAGAGCACATGTATTTACTGGCTTGGCTGTTGATTCCATAAGGAGGCAGCAATCCCACCACCTGCTGACACCAATCCCTCCTCGAGATGATTCTATTATAACCCATCTTTGCTCCTTCAATTACTTGCTCTGTTCTCCTTTCTGCCTTTCCTTCTTGGAATCCTTCACTTCAGTTTACAAATATGTTAAGGTCTCCCTTATCCTTAAAAGAGAAAAAAATCTCAACACCACTGTTTCCAGTACAGACAATACTGGCTTCCTCTAATTTGGTTGCCTAATTTTGGGGATTAATGTACACCAACTTCTAAACTCGTTTCTCTACTTAAATGCTTCTCTCCAAGAGGACCAAGAATCTGTGAATCCCCAATTCCAAGGACTTGAGTTTCTCACGTCTCATCCTAATTTCACCCACTCATTTTACACTTCTGGCCACTTCCTCTTTCTTCACACTCTTTTCTCCCTTGCTTTCTCTTATGAAGCACTATTCAAGCTTTCATCTCTCTCTTCTTTTTCGTGCTGCGTTAATACCAGAAATTCCTGCGGCTCTATGCTGGTGCTTCTATCCTTCCTCTTACCCTGCCCCTTTATGTGGGCAAGCTCCTTAACCTCACGAAGTGTGTTTTCCCACGAGATCATCAGAAAGATTAAATGGGATAACGCAGGTAAAGTGTCTCACACAGTCTGGAAAATAGTAGCTGCTTATTCAAATGTTACCTAAATTTTTTAAATGGATGAATGAAATATAAAAGTGGAACTAAAATAACTGAGTGGACTGGCTGGCTGACACAGTTTAGAGTCAAAATGAGTTCACCAGATTTTTTTTTTTTTTTTTTTTTTTTTTGCGGTACGCGGGCCTCTCTCTCACTGTTGTGGCCTCTCCCATTGCGGAGCACAGGCTCCGGACGCGCAGGCTCAGCGGCCATGGCTCACGGGCCCAGCCGCTCCGCGGCATGTGGGATCCTCCCGGACCAGGGCACGAACCCGCGTCCCCTGCATCGGCAGGCGGACTCTCAACCACTGCGCCACCAGGGAAGTCTGTGTTCACTAGATTTTTAAAAATTGTCTATGTGCAAAAATACACAGAAATGCTAACTCTAACTGCAAACTCTATACTTTTAAAATAGTATCTTGAGTTTGGTCAAGTCAATCATTCTTTAATCTGAGTAGGACAAGTGATAAACTAACGCCTCGAATCAAAAACACTCTAATAAATATTATCAGGAAAATCCTGACTTGTCTTGATTAATTGGAGAGTCTAGAGCCTGATGGCTGGGCTGAAATCCTGGCTCTGATACTTATCAGTTGTGTCACCCTGGGATAAGTTACCTCATGGTTCTGCACCTCAGTTTCCCCATGTGTAAAAGGAGGGAAAAACAGAACCTTCTACACAGTGTGGGTCAAAGGGTTACAAAAGTGTAAAGCTTTTACAGTAGTTCCTGGCATAAGGAAAACATTCATTAGATCTTCTAGTCATTATTATTCTGTGTCAAATATCTATTAGTAAGACAATTTATATAGTAGCTAAACCGAAGATCGTTATTAATGAATACTCAGGACATGGTGATATCTACAATTATACCCTCAAAAAACTATGTAGTCAATAAAGAGAATGTTCTCTCTTCAACAAAGCAATCTGGGTTCCTGCAGAAGAGCAGAAACAAACTCTCAATTCTCCTCTGGGTCAACCCCATCTCACTGGAACCTTTAAAAGGTGATGACCAGCCGGCTTGGTCAAGCCTCATGAGGGGATGGACCTCTTAGGGCTAGTACTGGGCTATCTACCTGATCAGGTTGGGGGGAGGACGACCATTTCACCTGCTGCTCGTTAGCCAGACTGTACTGACAGCTCTCACCTGGAATGCACAGGTAACTGGGGAAAACTAGGGGAACTCCGATACAGATAACCCCCGCGGAAAAGGGCGATAATTCCCTCTCTGTAAGGCCCCTTATTACATCCTTTTATGTTTTCTGTCTTAGCGGCAAAAACATTAAGTAAGAATTATATTTTACCCATAACTCCCTCCTCAGATCTTCATTCTCAAATTGATTTAGCTGATTCAAAACATCCTCAATCAAGTGACTCCTTCTGACTGTTAGATTAATGGTGGGCAGTAAAGCACATTCAGACCTTTCTTGTTCCACAATGCCAGCCAAAAACGCGCAAGCTCGCCATCTCTTCTCCTGGGAAAAGAAAAACGTTTCACTCCATTTCACCGTCTGCTCTAAGTAGAAATTTACAAAGTAGAATAAACCGCTTCGGTTTACTATCCGCGCGTGCCACAAACATTTATGAAAAGGGCCCTACATACACCCCTGGAGACAGGCTATATATTCAGTATTCACCCCCAGTGAGCAGAAGATACTTGAGACATAGGAAATGAAAAGCTCTGTGGGGCTGATGTGGGTGAGCAGGAAGGTGACCAACCGCGGGCTCCTCTGGACCACTGTATCCTGTAAACACAGCTGTGAACACTTCAGGGACCGACTAACGATTGTCAACAGGCTAAGAGACTGACTAGTGAGGCCGAAGCAGTGAGCTGAAACCTAGCATTCTCATCAGGAAGAGGAATTCAGACGTTTAGAAAAGAAGCCTGCTGCAGGAAAAGCGCAGGATGAAAGACCTCTCTAAAGATATCCTTTTCTAGGAGGAAAACTCAGACAAGAGATTTTAGGGGACAGATAATCTACGAAGTTACCATGAGAGAGACAGACCCACAGACTGACAGACAGACACACAGACCGTCCACCTGGAACCAAACGGCAATATGGGATCATTAACGTCTATGTCTCTTAGCAAAACAGAGAGAAATCAAATGCCATTTCTATAAAAAAATTGCCGGAAGCTTGTTTAGAATCAAGAGAGAATAGTTACAGGGTTGAAGCAAAACCAAGTTCTCGTACCTTCTTTCTTTCCATTTTCCTTTGTTAAATGTTTCATTAATGGTCTTACTTGGAACTTATAAATCAATTTCCTATTTTGTTTTATCATGGCAACTGCATTAGGTAAAGGTATCTTTTTATGACATAGATTTGAATATTATTCATGCATATAGATATACAGATGCATATATCAGCATAGAAGTGACAACAAGCGCTAACACTTTCGGGCACTTTGGGAGAGGCACTGTTCTAAATGCTTTACCTAGATCAACAAATTTAATCCTTATAATAATGCAGTGAGGTGCATTTTCTGAGGCATTTTCAAGCGTACAGTTTTAAGTTCAAAACCCCTTGCTGATGACAGTAAGTACATCTGCAAGGGAAATACTTTTCACAAGCCTTTATTATGGCATGATCACAGCCAGCCGTTTCTTTGAGTCTGAATTTCAAGAATCCTCTGTCACCTCTATTCCCACTACTATGTTTTCCCATTAGATTAGACCTTCTTATATACTGGTGCTAATCCCAGTCAAGCCCACGTCTGCCATGCGTCTTTGAGTACCGTTCAGAAGACTACCGGCGCCAACCTCAAGGCAAAAGCCCTACAGCTAGGCTCAAGCTCTGGCCTTTGCTACTGAGGCCCTAATATGCCTCAAGGCCAACCCAACTCAAATTGTGACAGCCTCTCTAGCCTTCTTTTTTTTTTTTTTTTTGCGGTACACGGGCCTCTCACTGCTGTGGCCTCTCCCGTTGCGGAGCACAGGCTCCGGACGCGCGGGCCCAGCAGCCATGGCTCACGGGCCCAGCCGCTCCACGGCATGTGGGATCTTCCCGGACCGGGGCACGAACCCGCGTCCCCTGCATCAGCAGGCAGACTCTCAACCGCTGCACCACCAGGGAAGCCCATAGCCTTCTTCACTAGAGTATAAGCTTCTTGAATGCTATGACCACCACTGGTTTCACCAGTGGGTGGCTCCCTTACCACTCCTCTATTATACACTGGAAAAGGTACTCATCATTTGATTTGCTAATGAAAACAAAGAAATAGGCATGCATACCTGTATTTTTAAAAGTGAGTCTGCATACAGTAGTTTAACTTTCGACAGAATATTAAAGATAAATGGAAAATGACTGAATATGACAGGATAGTGGATGTCCACTGAAGTGTCCTAAAAATGGAAATGACAACAATTTTGATAAATGAAAGGACAGAGAAATCTTACGCCTTACTTCCTAGCCTTAAAGCCCTGATGGTTTCAGGTCTCAGTACTTATAGCCAAAGCAATCCAAAATGCTGGTCAGTAGGGCTCAGATATATAAAATTCTAAGGAAATGTTTTATATCTATCAGTGAAAGGTATATACACCTAGTGTTTTCAGTACTCATTTAATTTCACCATTAATTATAAACTCTGGACATTTTCCCAAAGAGTCTGTTCTGCTGCCACCTGCACTTCTGAAACGTGAAATTAGTTCAGATGCATTCGGTAAGCAGGGGACTGACAGAATGAAGACGGCTGGTTAGCTCAGACAAGATTCTTCCCAGGCAAAGGATGATGTGCTAGGAGTAGAATTAGAACCTTCAGAGAAAAGGTGAAAAAAATCTCACATTAGCTGCTGAACTGGCAGCAAGAGCCCTTTAGCTTTATTTTAAGAAAATGAAAAAGGAGTACTTATACCCAGGGAACCCTCCCCAAAGTTACAGCCCTATCCTGCTGGCTCCTGGTGAGTTACCGAGCCTCCTATACCTACCTTAAGAGCAAAGCTCCACTCCCGCAGGTGTTATCTCAGTACCACCGGTCCTCTAATCAGGGTGTGGAGAGATTTCTACCCTTCGGTTTTTGTGCATTTTTCATCTCGCGGCACTGTCCACAGCCGCTTGCCTGGTTGATCTGAGCTATCCCCCCAGGTAGGAAGCACTTTTCTGTCAGTGTTCTGGCTACAAAACTGCATCGGTTTTGAGGGGTCTGCCTTGCTTTTCCCATAAACCCTGCTATTTCTATTGGGCAGCTCTGCAGAGTACAGGAAGTTTTGGAAATTCGTACAAAGTTACAGAACGAGTGCCTGTATTAACTTACCGACGATCAATACCCTCTTTAAATATGCCATACTTACTGCGCCCATTTTCCAGACGGTCCTTCTGTATGCATCTTCATAAAAATCAAGCAAGTGTGTGAGTTCATTTACTTTGAAGATATTTTCAGGCAGCTGACATTTAGTCTGGTTTACCTTAAATAAAACACCACCTGTGAGAAAGTTCTTTATATAAAGACAATTTTGCTTAATGGCTATAAATTAGATTATCAGAATAAACAGCAAGTTAAACATACTTTTAATGACCAGAATTAAGTTCTATCCAATTCCCCCACTGCCAAAGCCCCAAACTTTCAGGAGCATAAAGAATACCTAAGATTTAATAGTAGAAATTGATGGTATGATGAAAAACTTCTACTTTTAATCCATAAAGAAGTTTTAAAGAAACTCAAGTGCAAAGAAAAATACAGTGTAATATGAATCCAAACTACTCTGGGGCCCAATACTTCATGTCACGTTCTTTCTTTCTCTTAATTTGCAGGGGGCGGTTGCCGCACTGTGCAGCTTGCAGGATCTTAGTTCCCCGACCAGTGCCACTGCACGGGGATGCTGTTTCATCCCTGTGACTAGGACCCCGCTGATCTCAGCCTTGCACTGTCAAGAGCCTCAGAAGCCTCAGAGTCATGGAGAAAGAGGTGCGTCGTCTTCGTGGATTCTGCTGGAGGTCTGTGTGGGCGGAGCTTGACAAACATTCTGACGCTGCCTGTTAGAGTCCAAGGGCAAAGCAGGATCCCTTCAAGATTTCTTCTGTTGCTGCTTCAGTATTTCTAGGAATTCTCTTTGTAAGTGGCAAGCTCATCACAATACACTTTCCCTGAGCTCTTCAGTAAACTGCTCAATTTTTCAAGACCTGGAATTATTTTTTTGGTTGATCTTTCACTTTTATATAAAACCTTTAAAAACAGCCAGGAACAGGAATCACTTTTCAGCAGTAGGGCAGACCTTTTTTTTAAGCAGTTTGATAGATTAGGCACTTTGATTCACTGAAAACAACCATAAATACAGGATAAACTGTAAACCAACATTTTTGGATGGAATAATCAGGTCAAGAACTAAGGGAAGGTGGTACTTCCCTCGAGAGTATCTGCCAAACCTGGTGAACCTGAACTTCAGTTTCAATGGCTGAGGCTGAGAAAAGGAGACAAAGCCCAGACTCTGTTCAAATTAGGAAACCTTGCTTCATAAATCTGGGACCCAAAAGGGCTACCATTAGAGTGAACCAGGGTAACCTAGAAATGAACAAGCTCTTTCCTCCACTCCTGCATCAACCCATCCCCACCCTAACTCCAAGACCATGAGGCAAACTGTAGTTAAAATGGTGCGCGCGCGCGCGCGCACACACACACACACACACACACACACACACAGAGTCACAAAATACATGATAATGAAGGAGCCGTGAGGAAGATTCAGCAGAAACTAAAGACAGCAAAAACTGACCTGCAAAGACTTCAGGTACCCAGAAATTATAAATAATGACCAAGAAAAAAAATTTAAAGAACCAATGAGAACTTCCAGAAGTGAAAAACATACTACTAGAAATAAAACTCAAAAGACAGTGTTTGTTCTTTTTTTTTTTTTTTTTTTTGCGGTACGTGGGCCTCTCACTGTTGTGACCTCTCCCATTGCGGAGCACAGGCTCCAGATGCGCAGGCTCAGCGGCCATGGCTCACGGGCCCAGCCGCTCCGCGGCATGTGGGATCTTCCCGGACCGGGGCACGAACCCGCATCCCCTGCATTGGCAGGCGGACTCTCAACCGCTGCGCCACCAGGGAAGCCCAAAAGACAGTTTTAATAGCAGACAAAAATCACTGAAAAGCTAATTCATGAACAGGAAGATAGGGCTGAAGAAATCATCCAGAATGGGGTAAAAAGAGACAAACAGATGGAAATTATGACAGGACGATTAAGAGACATGGATGACAGAGCGAGAAGATCTAACATACAAAATAAGTAGAATTTCAGGAGGAGAGAGTCAATACTTGTTTTGAATTAAAACGTGTAACAACTTAGAAATGGAGGGAACATCCTTTTACCTAGAAAGATTATTTTACAAAACCCCATAGTAAAAATGTTATTTAATAGTGATATTCAGAATTTTCCTTTAAAATCACCAACAAGATTAGGCACCTACTATCACTATGACTTCTATTCAACATTCCTCTTGAACAACTAGGGGTAGGAAGGCCTAGCCAGTGCAACAAGGCAAAGGAAAATAATAAAATGCCTAAGAATTGGGAAGAAAAAAACATTATGTTTTTCAAAGATATGATTGTCTGCACAGAAAACACAAAAGTATCTACAGTTAAATTACTAGATATAATGCAAGAATTTAGCAAATTCACTGGCTATTAAAAAAATCAACATTCAGGGACTTCCCTGGCGGTCCAGTGGTTTAAGACTCTGAGCTTCCACTGCATGGGGCCTGGGTTCGATCCCTGGGTGGGGAACTAAGATCCCACATGCTGCACAGTACGGCCAAAAAAAAAAAAAAAAAGGAAAAAGAAAACAAATCAATATTCAAAAATCAATGCATTCTTACAATGCATTCCTATAATCAATGCATTTATCTGCTGTTAAACCAACAACAGATAATATAGTTTTTAAAAGATACCATTTACAAAAACTTAAAAAAAGTTAAATACCCTGGAATAGATTTGACTAAAGATATCCAAGACTTTCATAGTAAAATAACAAAAACTCATTGAAAAACTTAAAAGATAATCTCATAAGTAGAAGAAATAGATACCATGAAGATTCACAACAGTAAAGATATCAATTCTCCCCAAAGTGAAGTACAGATTAAATGCAATTTCAATCAAATTCCCAGTAAGATCTGTGTATGTGTGTGTAGAACCTGAAAAGCCAATTCCAAAATTTATAGGGAAGAACCAAATGCCAAAAATATCCAAGATTCACTTCAAGAACAAGACAGGAGTGTTTCTTTTAGCAAGTATAAACAATAGAGAGCCCCATAAAATGATTAACAGTAAGAAAAGAGCCTGTACGTGAACCCCGCACACAGAAACTTGTTTTATGACAGTTCACATGACCTATCAGTGCAGAAAGGCCAGAATTTCAGTTAAGCGGTGCTAGGTAATTGTTTTCATATGGAAAATAATAAAAATAAATTTTCAGTTGGATTAAACACCAACGTGTGAAAGGCAAAGCTAACCTCAATACTCCCTTTAGACCTTGGCAGGAGTGACCTCTGCCCTCTGACTTAAAGGTCTTTGCTCTGGGCTTCCTCCAGCCAAGCCCCTTCCCACAAGGGGTCTGCAGGGTCAACGGGGCCTGTCTATATGGAGCCCACTCATCACACATCCCCATCTAGACTGAGCTCCAGAACCCAAGACCCGCAAGTCCCTGCCCAGACGGCTCCAAGCCAGCCCCAGGAGCTCCACAGGTTTCTCCCTCCACTTGCCCTTTGGGGAGTGGAAGTGTCACAGGTGACACACCCCAAGGCTTCAGGGCCCCAGGGTTGGCTAAGGAATGGCTATTGTGGGAGGTGGGATGGAACACAGAGACGTGGGCTGAGGTGTCCACACACGGCCACGTGACAGCCCTGGTGTGGGAGAAAACCAAGGAAGGAAGAGAAGCGCAGAGGACCTGGGGTGGGAGCGGGGAGGGTCCGTCGGAGCCTCCCCTTTCGCTGCAGAACTCTGTAAGGAGCCAAGGTTTCGAAATTCAAACCTGGCTTCCCCTGTCATGAGGAAGGTTTATTTGTCAAGGTGGGAAGATAGAGTATATTTTATTTCATTTAACACGTTGTTAGCTAGATTTCTAATCTTTTAAACATTAGACATATGGTGTATAAGCCTCTGTTTGAACTCCTCCTCTGGTCCCAGCTATCATCTCTGTTAGAAGACTATCTAGAGCAGCCCCCGATGCCAAATCAGGCCCTCTGCTTATTCTGTAAAGTCTCACAGATGCCTGAAATATTTACCATCTGGTCCTTTCCAAAAAGAAGCCCTCCAGATCCCTGATCCGGGTAACAATTTAAAACCTTGAAGGAAAAAAAAAGTTTAAAACAAAACACATGGAGTAAAGATCATAAAGGAATAGACTGACAAATTTTTTTTTTTTTTTTTGGCCATGCCGTGTGGCATGCGCAATCTTAGTTCCCTGACTGGGGATCGAACCCGTGCCCCCTGCATTGGCAGCTGGGAGTCTTAACCCCTGGACCGCCAGGGAAGTCCCCAAATTTTATCTACATTAAAATTAAGAACCTAAGTTTCGGGCTTCTCTGGCGGTCCAGGGGTTAAGACTCCCCGCTTCCAGTGCAGGGGGCTCAAGTTCAACCCCTGGTCGGGGCACTAAGATCCCACATGCTGAGGGGTGTGGCCAACAAGTTAAAAAAAAAAGAAGTGAGTTCATCAAAAACCACCAAGACAAGCTATAAACTGGGACTTGATATTTGCAACACATATAATTGACAAAGGACTAGTATCCAAATAAAAAGTACTCCTATAACCAATAAGAAAAAATTGAATACATTTAAATTGAGCAAAAGGACAGGTGTTCTATAGAAGAGGAAACAAGTACTGCAATTATAAACATGAAAATATGCTCTAATGCATTAGAACCAGGGAAATACAATTAAAATCATAATTTGGGGCTTCCCTGGTGGCGCAGTGGTTAAGAATCCGCCTGCCAATTCAGGGGACACGGGTTTGAGCCCTGGTCCGGGAAGATCCCACATGCCGCGGAGCAGCTAAGCCCGTGCGCCACGACTACTGAGCCTGTGCTCTAGAGCCCGTGAGCCACAACTACTGAGCCCATGAGCCACAACTACTGAGCTCGTGTTCCGCAACAAGAGAAGCCACCGCAGTGAGAAGCCCACGCACCGCGGCAAAGAGTAGCCCCTGCTCGCTGCAACTAGAGAAAGCCGTGCGCAGCAACAAAAACCCAACTCGGCAGTCAATCAATCAATAAAGTCATAATTTGGCACGATTTCAATATGGCACTAAAAATATTTTCCCAATTTTAAAGTCAGACATGGGGCAACAGCATTCTCATCATTTCCTGGAGAGGATTTAAATTGGTCCAACCACTTTGGAAGACAGTTTGTCACTACCCATAAAGAACAACACAGGCATATCCTCCAACCTATCAATTCCAGAATTAGGGATGGAAACTAAAAACTAACTCTTGACACACGGACACCGAGAGATAAGTACAAAAATGTTGACAGTAGCATGTTTTCTCATAGAGGAACCCTCCCCCCAAAAAAGAATTGCAAATAGCACATACTGTATATCCATCAATACCGGAATGGATAATTCTGGTAGAGTCACACTATGGTGTGATACAGAAGCGAAAATGAAGTACAGACATAAGTATTAATCTGGATGAGTCTAAAAAAACAGAACGTTGTGTAAGCAGCATGTATTCGATTCATATGAAATTTTGGAAACAGCAAAATTAAACAGCATCGTGTCAAGAGATACTCATGGTTATAAAAAAATAAAGAAGCGTAAGTGAATGATTAACTGAAAATCCAGGATCCTGGCTACCTCCGCGAGGTGAGGGTGTATAATCTGTGAGAGACACACAGGCATTTCTAAAGCACTAGAAATGTTTTCTTTTTTAACATGGGTGGTAGTTACACTGATGTCTGTTTTACTACTTTTCTTTAAAGTGTATACGGATACTAGACACACTCCTTTATATGCATGACTTAATTCACAAAAAACAACATTTTAAACATAACGGTACCGACCTCATGTTTCGTAAGAGTCTGCTTAAGTTTCAAGCCAGGTGAAACCAAGGGAATTTTTATTGCAAAATAAAGATACATGGGTTTCTAAAACAGCACTTACCCTGTGCAGCTTTTTCATCATTTCTAGGAGAGTTTTAATGTGATAGTTATTCTCCGTAGTTCCAGCCCAATAATTCAGCTGAGCAATGACGGCTGTTTTAAACATCTGCACCAGTCTGATGAAAGCAGCTTCTTGCAGAGATGCCCAATATTCCTCTGAGGGATACGAAGGTAAGTAACTGTCAGCATGTAATATTTCTTGGATTCTTAAAGGTAAAAAGTAGTCAGTATTTTCTGAAACTGGTGGAATATTTTCATATATATTGTAGTCATAAAGACACATTTGTAATAAATTTTTCAGTAAATACAATCGGAATTGAAAGTGTAGAATTTAATGTTCTCAAAAAAATGCCTTGACAGTAAGAGAGCCACAGATTGGATCTAATTCATTTGTTGGGGGGAAAAAAAAACTAGACAAAATTAATCAGTCACATTTTTTGCCCAGATGAAATAGCATACAGTATTAAAAACCAGATTAAGAACTATTTGTGATTACACGACTCTATTTTGCCCTCTTAGCACGAGTTTTTAACTCTTAAAAACCATCTTTCCGCATTGTATAAAAGAAAAATGCTTTAAACCAGCTTTTCATCGCTTACAATGTGACAAAACATATGAAAGAATGGACTTTCTTGGGCTGAATATGCTATTTGTGTCAAAAACCTCATTAGAATATAATCAAGCCCCTAGACCTAATTTCCAGTGTACTGGAAATACAGGGACAGGAGGAAACAATCAGACAAACCTAGATGTGAGACACTGAACAGGACTACTGACCCACGCTCTTTAAAAAAAAAAAAAAGCCTGTACAATACTTTTCGGGACAAGTGCAGAAATCTGAATATGGCCTAGATGTGAGGTAATATTATGGAATCACGGCTAATCTTATTAGCTGTGGTAACCATGTTGAGGTAATACAGGATTCCATATCCTTAGGAGATGCATGCTGAATATTATGGGTAAAATGTCCTGATATCTCCAACTCACTTCCAAATAGTTCAGCAAAAATAAAATGTAAAAAAAATAAATAAATAAATAAATAAAAAATAAAATAAAATAAAATAAAATGTAATCTGTACACACACGGCAACATGTTAACTGCTGTTGACTCTCAGGTAGAGAGCATCTGGGATTCACTGTACTAGTCTTTCAACGTCTGTGTATGAAGTTCTTCATAATGAAAAGTAGGGGGCAAAGGACCTCATGACCAAGCCACACAGGTATCATTACAAGAACGCTGAAAAGGGACTAGAACAGTCCATCTTGGATGAACACAGTAATTACTGCAGCATGTTAGAATATGCTAAGACTAGGAACTAACAACCATGAATGTGTTCACGATCACCTAAGTTTTGCCGTAACTTCACTAGGCACGTGTTTCCATTGAGAAGACAGTCATGTGTTTTCAAATGTAAACCATCAATCTTACCCAGGACCTCTGACGACTGGCCACGCATTTTATAAAGAGCCTCTGCAAAAGGAACCACCAGGCTCTCCCAGTTGTTACAGTCATGCATCACAGGACATTCTGGGAGAAGGAAGAAAACTCCTAAAGCTTCTTGATGTGGAGAATGAAATGGAAGATTTTTCAACAGAGTATCCCTGAGACATGTGGTTATCTGTGGTCAAAAAGGATCCAGGAAAAGACACTCAGAAGACAGCAATTACTGTAATAAAATAAAGTGTGGAACCCGGAGTTTCAACCCACCATGAAATTGGAGCAATCACGTGGTCTCTCTAAAACCCATGTTCACAACCCATCTCATCTAGCTTCCCCAATACCTAGGTGTGTAAACGTGTGACAAGTAACCTCTCCGTCCAATTGTTGGGGTTCATGAAGGAGATCAAGAAGAAATCACATGTGCAAGATTATACTGGATGGACTCAGAACTAAAAGGCAGCCCTCCCAATCATGGTCCACATTCTTCCCTCCAGTTCCACTAGCACACCTCATTTTTTAAAGAGGATGTGTCAGAATCTCCCAAAGCAAAACAAAAATAAAAAACAAACAAAAACAACGAAAATCCGCATGGTTTCCTGTTACCTTCTCACAGAATCACCTGTCTCATCACAAACTCTCTCCACCAAACTCTAGTTTCTAGCCCTTCCAATCTTCTTAGTTTCCCCAATTCAGAATGCACGTGTTGAAGAAAAATTCAAATGGAATTCTGAATGTTTATGTGTTCTGTGGGCTCAGATAACGGTAATAATTTGCCTAAAAGCCCGTTAAGAAGATAATCTAGTGTTTACAGGGTTCTTATTATTTGTCTAAGTAATTCACATATATAAGTTCATTTATCCTTGTCGTTTCTCTGTAACATAGATGGTATTATTAACCCCGATTCATAAATGAGAACTCCGCACGTTAGGGAAATTAACCTGCTGAGGGTCACAGAGCTAAGTGAGAATCTCTCCTGATCTTTCTGACTCCAAAGCTCAAACTCAATCACTAAATTATGAGATACTAGCTAAATGATACCTCTACATCTACAAAATCTTACAATTATCTATTTTCACATCAAAACATCCTATTGGGCTCCCACCACGAGGTTCAGTCTTCGGAGTCATATGCACAACTGATGGTTGCTCGTGCCCCCCTCCTTCCTCTGGGCTCTTCACCATCCGCAACCCCGAACCTCCCAGCCCTTTAGAACCACTGTACCGCTCTCAAGCCAGTTATACTGTTTCACAGCTTGTGCCTTGGTGCACACCTTCCTGACTGCCTAGAATGTCCTTCCCCTGTAGGTACCTGGTAAACTCCCCTCCCCCTGGGCACCTTGTTTTGAGCACTCTAAACAGAGCTGACCGTTCACTGCCCAGGTAATGAATCAATTCATTCATCTAAAAATATTTATTAAACACCCAATATGTTCTAAGCTGGGAACCAGGGAAGACAACTGACAGCTGCACATAGGTATCCGTCTCCTTCACTAAACCAGGAGCCTCTAAAGACAGGGGTCTCACCACAGTTCCCTACGCACAGCAGTATTCAAATATTTGCTGAATAAATGAAGGAAGGCCAAGTCTGTGAGTCCATGTCACAGAAATCGCAAAACAGAAACATTACAGGTCTTCTGATCCAACTGTCCCATCTGAACCACTGGGAGACTGCTCTGTGATTATGTCGCTTGCACTGTATATGATACTGTTCTGGCACAGCTAAGGATAATTAGCCTTGGTGATGAACTGGTCCAACCTCTTCCCTTCACAGATGCAGACATGGCTTTCTATTCTTGGTGATCTTTCTACTAACTGCTGCAGAGTCCTGATAAAGGTACATAATTAAGGATCCATTTTACATCAGACTCCTCTTTGGGCAATGGTTCTGCCAAAGTTAACATAGTTAAATTTTCCGTCTTCCCTTGAGAAAAGAGTGCGCGAGAGAGAACCTGCAGCTAAGATACAGAATGCTGAGTGTGACAGACAGAGCAAGAGACCAGGTGAGGGAGGTGAGAGCAGGAAGAGAACAAGCACGAGACACAGAGAGGGAAAGAATAAGAGCCACAGAAGCAGAAGGAAAGACCAAATGGGGGGTGGGAGGAGCCAAGAGAAGTGAAGGAGGGGGAGAGAGCGTGCGCAAAAACGAGCCAGAGACCCAGAAAGAAACAGATTGAGAGAACAACATAGACAGTACCACCCCTAGATCAATCAGTACAGTAGAACAGGGAAATAAATTAATAAAAGCTACATTAGGAAAGGCTACATTCATAAAGGAAGCATGCCTGAAGCATCCCCAAGAGGGAAGCCTCAAGATAGTAGTAACAGTGCTGAAACAAAGAAGCAACAATCCCAGAAAGAACAAGAATATTCTAGAACCTACAGAAAAGGAAGTGCAGACCAGGCAGTCCTTGGTGAGGGGGACATTCATATCAGAAAAAGTGTTTTCATTTCTATACTTATGTTTAAAATAACTGCAAATAAAATGTTGTTCTTATTCTAGTGTACCAGTCTCAACAAATATTTTAATCATCTTCCTAAAGCCCTAAATTGAAAACATTCCCTCTAGGGGAGTGCCGGTACATACACGTGTATGTGTGTGGGGGCACCGATGAACTAGTTAGATTATTTGTAACCTAAGTGCCTCCTCTACCAGCTGTTTCACCCTAAGTGGGGAAACTCCTGAATGGCAGCTGAGTTTAACTTAATCTATATATGCCACAGGGTCTCAAAGAGTATCTGAAAACAAGATATTTCTTCTGAAATTTTGAGTTCTTATAAAAATGTTTCAGTGTATTTTCTTTTTCCAAGTAACAATCTGAAGAATACCACCGTGTTACTAATCCAGTCCTTTTGGGTTAACTCCATAAAGGTGTCCCTCGCTGCATTTAAGTCCAAATGAAGAGACATCGTTTCTGCAGCTATTCTGTGGAAGGAAGGTAAATGAAAAATGGATGAATAAGTAAATGAAAACGGACACTTCAAAATTAAATATTTTATTAGATTATTTATCCAGATGAAAAGTTTCTTCTCAAGCTTGCTTCATTTTAATAAAATTACTTTTTTCCCACCTTTTCAATAACTATAAAAATTTGACTGAATACAAACACAACTGAAAATATAGTTGACAAAATGTGATTATTTCTGAAATGTCAAAAAGTATCAAGGCCGCATTAACTATACGCACACTATCAGACTTTACATCAGATACTGTCTTATCTTAAATGAGTAATCAATAAATATTTATTTTCCAGTACAAAAAAAAAATAGCCACAGGAAAAAGATAAAGGTATTTCTTGTTTTCCAGTTACATGAACTACAAGCAGGGACCAAAAAAGGGGTTTCAGAGCAGTAAATTTTTAGTAATCAAAGAGAAAATTACTAATGAAATGTCTATCTTAACTCAAGAACTACGTTTATACTGGACTGAATATATTGTCTAAAATTAGACCCATTCTCTGTGAAATAATACATATATTTAGTGTCTGAAAACAGAAAAAGTTCTTTTAAATAAATATTATACCAATATTTAGGAAAAGAAGTACAAAGTCATTCTTTCATAATACTTAAAAATTCAAAGAAACCTTAGTATCTAGTAATAAGGAAGTAATCAAATAAATTAAGGTACACTCTTCCCATGGAATACATGCAACCACTAAAATGATGTTATGGGGAAATACTGAATAATATAAAAATGGAATAAAATGGAAAAATGGGCAAATGTATTAAGCGTGAAGAAATGTATAAAACAATATAATCCCCTTTTTTGTAAAACTACAGATTTGCATAAAAAATATTTATACAAACACTAGCTATTACGCTTAAGTGGTGAATTTTGGCTGATTTCCATTTTCTTTTTGTTTCATGTCTTTTTTTTGACATTTTCTACAGCAAGCATATATGTGCTTTTGTAGGGGGAAAAAAGGTAATTTTTAAAAAGAGATAAAGACACACATAATTATTTTACCCTCAAACCATTTTCTTTATCATCTATCACAGTTTCTTAAATTGAGACATAATGGACACATAACATTATATTAGTTTCAGGTGTGTACAACGTAATGCACTGATATATGTATAGCATATGCTGTGAAATGATCACAAGTCTAGTTAAAATTCATCACCACACACACTCACACATTTTTTTTCTTGTGATGAGAACTTGTAAGATCTATTCTCTCAGCAACTTTCAAACATACAATACAGTATTATTAACATAGTCACCATGCTATCGATACATAGTGTTTTCAACAGAATTTTAAATTTATTATATATATTACCTTTCCCTTAAAAAACTTCCAGCCAGACATGCAGGAGATGAAAATATCTCTCTGATTTCCCTATATTAGGAATAAGATGGTGGTTAAAACAAATCAGAATATGCCTCCTTGTAGCAGGAGACATGACAAATTGTCCTTCAAATTCCTCCCTCCATCTCCCAATTTATTTGCATACTGCCATGGGCATCTGAAAGTCTCATTTGCGAAATCTCAAAGTTTCAGAGGCAAACATGGGAAATAAAAAGATACGTACTCAGGGAAGCCAGAGGGGAAGGGGATAAGGCTTGACCTAGGATATTTTCTTAGACAAATAAAACACTCCCAACCCACCCAGCTTTCCAAGCCCTACTTATTTCTATTCCACTGGAGTAGAAACAAAAAAAAATTACCAGAAATGAAAGGTGGGGATGTATGTTCAGTTGTGTCATAGAAGTACTTGCACAAATAGCTCCTGACCATTTGTGCTCTGCACGATGCAGCTACTTGGTATAACTACTTTCCAGAATTAGGAAGCCATACCTAAAAATGTCTCTAAAAGGAAATGCCTGTATAAATGAGTATAATTTGTACAGATGGTAGGAGTTCTACCATTGAGAGTAAGGTTGCCTAAGCTGTTCAGCTGTGAATAACAGCTCACAAACAAGAGGCCCTAAAGTCAACGAGGGTTGAGAAACTGTAGACTCTATTTCCTGCTCAGTGTCACAATTAAACATATCAAAGGCCCAGAGAAGTCCTGCAGTAAAGAAAGACGCCCCCATGGAGCTTACATGCTAAATTGTATGTGTCAACTTGGCTAGGCCATGGTACCCAGAGATTTGATCAGACACCAATCTAGATGTCGCTATGAAGGTATTTTTTAGATGAGATTAACATTCAAATCAGAAGACTGTGAGAAAAGCAGATTACCCTCCATAATGTGGATGGGCCTCATCCAATCAGTTGAAGGCCTTAAGAGAAAAAGTCTAAGGTCTCCAGAGGAAGAGGGAATTCTGCCTCCAGACTACCTTGGGACTCAAGCTGCAATATCAACTTTTCCCTGGGTCTCCAGCCTGCTGTCCTGCCTCAGAGATTTTGTACTTGCCATCTCCTACAATTGCATGAGCCAATTCCTTAAAATCTCTCCCCACCACCCTCAAACACACCCTATTGGTTCTGTTTCTCTGCAGATCTCTGACTAATGGACCACTAGCGGACCACAAAATCTCACATCTCTGTATCGTGCAGAACCAGTTGGGGAAACACTGCTTTAGAGAGGTATATGAGCAGACAGACACTTAGGGTGCACCTTTTTGTATTCTGCCACTGTTTAGTCCCCACATCAGCAATCCATCTCTTTACAGTGCCTTCATTCAAGGTAGGAATTCTCCTCCTCAGATTAACATAGGAATTCTGTAAACAAACAAAATAGTAAAATACAGTAACTTAGACACCACAGAAATAGGTATCCAACTCTTAGGCACGTTCTAGGGATAGAGAGTAATACTAAGCATGGATAACATAGCTCTGCAAAAATCATCAAGTAAGATTCTACCAAGGAACAATCAATCATTTATTTGTCTGGTTGCCAATTTCTTGTCCAAGGGTGCTTAGATCCAAAGTAAGTTTCTCTGAATGCCCCAACACTGAACACTTTATACGGGTATGATCAGATTAAACTGAACATCGGACAGCTTTGAGTGGAGAGATCCTAAAGGACTGGGTACAGAAGTGGCAGGAACTCAGTTTGCCTTGGTGGAGTAGGATATGGAGGTTACAGACTGAGTATTCATAAGACTATAAACCTCGGGTCTTTTTTAGTACTGGCCGGCAAAGTCACTTCAGAACATCAACCTGCTGGTTCACTAGCACCCTGACCAAAATGCTCTTGGCAAGGAGCCCCCCGAAAGGTAAGCAGAGTCTAAGGAAATCACACGTATCTGACATACACTAAGGGCAAATCTGCTGACTTTTGTGAGTAAATACGTAGGTAGTTTAGACAATAAAGGATCGATAACGTCTAACCATTCCCCAAACTCAGCCTGGTAACCTGATGATTTTGGAATTCACCACATCTAGATTCTAGAACCTTCTGTTTTGCTTAAAATACCAAGTTATAAAACTTCTAGAGATCTATTTTTACCTCTTTTTCCACCCAAAGCAAAATGCTTTGATCTCCTCCAGCAATCATTATTAACTCCTTTTCTGAGGTATGGCTTTCTGAAAGGGATTTACAAAAAATAAGAGTTTAGAAACTCATCTGATACAAATATACACACTCGGCCTAAATAATTTCAGATTCTTCTTAAACTGAGTCCTTTTACCTTTCTGACAGACAAAGACTCAGTACATTTCCTACCGATAAAGCAGAAATACATATCTACTTCAGAGTAAAGTCTAGTTAGCAAACATAGATGATTCGCAAGGTCGGCAACGTGCTATCAGTTTAATACACATAATTAACATAAATGCTTATATATACAACACAGTCAAACAAATACTTGATTAGTTAACTGTTCCCTGGTTTAATTCAGCGCCTCTTACTAAAAACCCTATTTATTATTCTACAACTCAAGATTTAATCAACGACTACTGGCTGTGAAGGATGTTAAGTACTTAAAAAGCCTATGCAAGTGGTTATAAGAAATCAGATATAATACTTGATCTGCTTAAGGAAGTAACCCGACTGTTCATTTCCCCAGAAGAACTGAGAGAATTCTGGTACTTCCGGTCACCACTAAGCTTTCAGAAACAAGTGACCCAAGGGCTCCGAGGCACTTCTACAGTGGAACGTCTCAGAGCGAAGGCTCTAGAGTTACACAGGGCACAGTTCACGTGTCCAGCCACAACCCTTCCCGGGCTAACCTTCCGCCCTCCGAGTCTCTGCACCCTCCAGCAGAAGACAACTGAGAGGACACATCTCCTGGAACTGTTTAAGGGCCGGTGAGCTAGGCACAGTTTACACTGCCTGGCATATGTCAGCTGCTCATCATTCTGAGGGTTTTAAACGATTATGAGTCAATTTAATCAGGTAAGAAGAACAATCACTATGGAATTAATAGGTCCCTTGAAAACTGGAATCAGAGGCTGCATAGGCCTCTGAACCCATACAGTCTATTTTATGTTGTATCGTTTTAAATCCACATTAATCTTAACCTGAAGGGCTAAGGGAAAACTAATGGTTATTTCGACTTGATAAATTAGATTGGCTGTGTTACGCTGGTTACAAGTAAACGAATGAAAGCAATGTTTAGAAAACCTCCCTTCACAGTCAGACACTTCTTTTCTTGCCCACATTACACACTTAGAACAATCAGTTTCTCAACCAAGGTATTCGTGCCGAATCCTGTGCTCCTCAAGAACTTACCAAATGTGAGTTCTTCCTTTGATGACAATTTCATGGGACACGGTATCAGCTGATTATGTGTTCCACCGTTCCCCAGTTGTCCTTCTTTTCCAGAACCAAAAGAAAAGACCTTCCCCAAATCAGAAACATAGGCAAGTGTGTGCTGCCTATTAAATGAAAACACATATGGTCCGTTCTCAATTATCCACAATGATTAGAGTATGCAACAATCCGGTAAACTGAAGAAATTACGCTACTCGGTCAGGGAAACAGCTAACCAACTTCCAGTGGATGACATCAGCCACCTAGAAACTAAGAAACCACTCATGTGTGGCTGAGATGATTTTGGAACCCCTAAGCGTGCTGAAGGCCACGAGGCTGCACCCTGGCAAATGACGTTCCCTTCGTCAGAACAAGCACCACCTCTTGCCTTCTACTCCTTCTTTAGGTCTTGGCTTGAGTCCCCACCTTCTGGAAGCCATCTCTGAGTCCCTCCCCTCCCCATCCTAGAAGATAGCATTAGGTGATCCTCCCCGAGCTCCCGCTCTATTTCCCAAAGACCTTTATCATGCTGATGTTCTTACTGATTTGCCTGATGGCCTCTCCTACTATACAGATGTATGAGGAAAGAACCTGGCCTTACTCCGAGGTCTGGCTTTTGTCCTCACTTCCTGGGAGGTAATGTCTAAACCCTTAGAATTTTCCAAGTGATAGGAGTGTCTCTGTTATTCATGGTAGGCCCGCCCCTAAGACCACACCTAATAGTTTATCCAGGTGGCTCCTGGAAGCCCCTCCAGCTGTATGTAAGCCCAACCTCTCGATACACAGAGGCTGGAGGCTGAGTTCAACTACATGGGCAAGAATTCAATCAATCGTGACTAAGCAATGAAACCCCAATAACAACCCTGGACTTGGGTGAGCGTCCCTGGTTGGCAATATTCTTCAGTCATGTATCAGGCTGGGAGGAGGTAACACGGCCCATGGCTCCAAGGGGAGTGGACAGCAGAAGCGCCTCATTTGGACCCCTTCTAGACTCTGTCTTATGCATCTCTTCCTTTGACTGGTTCTAACTTGTATCCTCCTCTTGTAATAAAAGTGACCATCAGTGTAGTAGCTTTCAGTGAGTCTTGTGTCTTTCCAGTGAATTCTCCTGTGTTAGCAGGGGTACTGCCTGGTTTGCAGTAAGACATTTCTAAGGTGAGGACTCCTTCCGTAACACATGCTACTCGGAGGAATGTATGTTACGAAAAATCCAAAGTGGTGACGATGTTCCTTTGGTCGATGCAGAGATGGAGTGATGATATCAATGGATAAACCTTTCTAACTCATGTTTGTTCATTTTTTTCCAAATAAATAACTTTTTTTTTTAAGATAAAAGTGCATTCGAACAGTTACAAAGGTATTTCACTAAAGGACCAACAGAAAGTAAATATATTTACACATTAAAAAAAATCAATGAAAGTAAATATCTATAGTAAAATATTTATTATGATTGTCTAATAATGTAAAATTAAGCATCTTCACCTATCTGAAAATGTCTGATACCTTTATTTCAATCAAAGAAACTCGATGGACATTTTATTAAACTACCTATCTAAATTTACCGTGCACATCTTACCAATTTTCATTGACACTTTACAACTCACCTTCCACATGCTATCTGGGTCACTCTATTCCCCACGAGTCCAGTTACCAAACAGGGTCTTAACTCATTCTGTGTTGAATTGTGACCGAGTTGCCCATACTTTCCAGCACCAAAAGTAAACACCAGCCCACCCTAAAGAAAGGGAACTTCATATCAGATTCTAGAGAAATATGACACAGAAGTAAACACTCACTGATGCAAAGGCGTCAGTGAAAAATCAATAAAATCACCATCAAAGCAAAGCCCCCCAGTGATCAGGACAGTCCTGCGTGTGGGCAGTGGTGACCTTTCTTCCCTGGGAAACGCCAGCTGCCCACATCTCCAGGTTCTAGTGCTTTCTCCACTACCAAGTGCTCTCCTGGAATTACAGTCAGAGAGACAAGGGTAACACACCTTTGTTAGCAGGGCAGTGTGAGAGCCACCACAAGCGAGAAATTCAACTTTCTGATTGTCCGGCATTTCAATAAGGCAAGGAGAATCTTTATCTAGGCAAGGGAAAGAAGAGTTCAAGTGACCCAAAGGAAATGGTGAATTTCACACTAGAGTTCCACCTACTGATAAAATACCCAGACCACTTCCTCTAGGCCCATCACAACAGCTCCTAACACACTGACAAGAAAGGCTCTGTGTTGGTACATTTAGGTCTAAAAGCAGAGGTGGGCAGTGGTCAAAGGGCCACAGTCGGGGGCCCTCACCTGTGAAAGTGTCACTTTCACTTCCCAGAGCCCCTTCTTCTCTTTTGAACCTGACCTGATTAGCCTTCATTGAAGCACACCTGATTTCCAAGTCCCATCTAGCATTACCCTTTTAATGAACATAAAGCTTCTTTTTTTCTTTCAAAGTCTCTACTACACTGTCCTTCCCTTCCACTACCTCTTCTCTCTTTCACGATTATTTTCTTGTCCAAGCACTTAGAGATTCAGCAAAAATAAGTTCAACTGTCCTTTATTCCTTTTCCTCCTCTGAGTATTTTTCGAACACTGACTTACAGGTTCTCCTGAGTAACTAGCATTGGACCATGTGAGGCAGAAATGCAGTTATCTGATCAGTAACTCTGGGGGGAACGTGTTCATCACCACAGCTAATGAAGCAGCTGAGTTTGCCACACCTGAAATCTCTAACAAGGTGTTTGGGGTAATCAGAAATATTGCCATCTGCTTTGTAGGGGTAGTGTGTACAGACGTAATGAATACCTTATGAGACTAGGACAGGTGACTTTCTAAATAGAATTTTAGTATCCTTTTGTCCTAATGTAATTGGAATAATAGACATTTAAGTGCACAAGTACCTTGAAGGTCACTTCATCCAAACTCATCACTTTACAGAAAAAGAAAATAAGACCTAGAGAAAAGTAAGTGACTTGGGTAGGTCCTGAAATTAGTTAACTTCAAGTGGGAATCAAAGCCCAGGTATTCTGATCCCCAGTCCAATGCTCTTTCCCTTTTTCCCACTTGGCCCTGACACACGTCTCAATTACAGCCATGACCAGCACCCTGCGCATGCATGTCGTTTAGACCGATTCTGCCCTGAAGACAGAGAGATAACCGGGGAGATCAGTGCTAATGAAAGTGGGGATCTGAATCATTTTTGCCAGGGAAGTCTGTGGTACATTCATCTCTTACATGACAAATATATATTTGTTTAGAATATGAATTTGAAAATATGTTTCCATACTGTCGGTGTGGCCCAGGCCCAGCTGTCCACAATCATTTCTTCCCCATGAGTAAATGTTTCCCAACATGGATAAGGCCATGCTGTGGGCTTCTCCTGCAGAAATCTGAACCAAGGGGACTCCTGAGAGGTGCTCCACGATCTGCGGTGTAGGGACCGAGGCAAATCCTCTTCCAACTCCAAGCTGGCCGTCTGAGTTCTGTCCCCACGCAAAAAGCTCACCACCTTGACGTAAACAGAGAAAACGCTGTCTTAGTTAAGTTTAAAATGCAGCAGACATCACCCTAGGACATTATGTGCTATCCATACTATACCATCATGATCTCCTCCATTCAAACTGACAAGACTGCCCAGATCCTCTCATGTCTGGGTCAGAAAAACCAGAACCTTCACTTTAGCAATGACAGTTACAATTCCTTACCTCTTACCTCAAAGGGTAGTGCTATGAACTGAATGTCTGTGTCCCCCCAAAACTCCTACGTTGAAATCCTAACCCTCAGTGTGACGGTATTAGGAGGTGAGGCCTTTGGGCGGTGACTAGAATTAGATGAGATGGCGAGGTGGGGGGCACTCATGAATGGGGTTAACGCCCTCACAAATGGGTCCCCAGAGAGCTCCCTCGTCCTCTCCACCTGTTAGAAAACTGGCCCTCAGTAGACACCGAACCTGCTGGAACCCTGACTTTGCACTTCTACCTCCAGAACCGTGAGAAATAGATTTCTGTTGTTTAAGCCACCCAGTCTATTTTTGTCATAGCAGCCCGAACGGACAAAGAATAAAGCTATCTGAATATATTATAATCAAATTCAAGAAACACTTATGTTAAAAATCCCACAGGATGGGCCCATGAAAGATAGAAACATTCTACATTTGGGAAAATAAAACCTAAAACTACTTTTCTTTCTTTCCCTCTCCCAAGTGCCTTAAGATGCCAAATAAATACCTTAAAAATACATTGAAAACGGCAGCACAGTATTTTGAAAGAGTGAGCATCTTCTTCCATTAATTGAATATATGGAACATATTTTTATTTTACTTATTTATTTAAAAAATTTTTATTGGAGTATAGTTGATTCACAATGTTGTGCTAGTTTCAGGTGTACAGCAAAGTGAGTCAGTCATACCTATACACACTGGATCATGTTTTTAAAGAAAAGTTCTTAGATATTATCTAATAGAGACGACAGTATCTAATGGGGTCTAAAAGAATATATCGGAGATTTAATCTTTACTGAGCAGGACCTGGTGGGAGACAGAGGTTTTCCTTCAAACGTAATTATCACATGCCTATCAGCCACCAGGAATATTATGATACGACTAAGAACGATCAGTAGTTCCCTTTCTTGCTTTCCCAACTTTCATTCTTCCTAGATTGTGATTTACCAATTACAAACCCTGAACAACCCCTTCGCCCCACATCCCTAGATCCTGGGCTTCTTGAAGGCACAGTGTGTCTGTCTCATCTTCACAACCTCAACATGGTAGATACTCAAACTGAAAGATCTGTTCATAAATGGATGAACTCAAACAACCAGTTTTTTCCAATACAAGTTTTATACACTCAAACCTTAGCAGGGCCTTCGGTACAGGTCAAATACTTGATTACTTACTTCCCTTGAATTCCAGCTTTCATTCAGTTTATGTTTATATCTGTCCTACGTATTTAAAACATTTCCTTGATCCTGAATTCCCCCCTCTATCGCCTTCCTGTCTTAATTAGGTCAAGTTTCTTCAGGAAATACTCCATATTCACTACTTCCCTTCCCTACCATTATGGTATCTGATAAGAAACAGGAAGTAATAAAGGGCTGGGGAGAATCTCTGAATTCAAAAGGTAATGTTAAAACACGTCAGAGGTCTGCAAACTGGTCATAAAAGCAGACCCAAGGGATTCTGAGCTCCCATCATGGGAGCTGGAAGAGCACTAGGAAAAGGGAAGAAAGTTCTGGAAAAGGGTGGACCATGCCTGGTCCTGCTTCCAGAGAGGAGATTTTGATTATTCAGAATATTTTCACTGTTTCATATTTGAAAAATAAAAAAACATGGAACTTCTGAAATAAAGCTCTAGGCCCAAGAGGTAGCCCAGGTTCCATGTCACCAAACCAAACTTTCATGCCCCTGTAAATGCTCTGCTTGACCAGAAACACAGCATATGCAGTCAGCCAATCCCCAAGCACCAAGTCGACGCTGCGGTCTACACTGATTTCCTTGTTCCTTGATCTTTCTAAATGTCAGCCACGCAACCTTAGCCGATCACGCCCGGTTTCCGCGTTGAGGCTTCTGACACTAAACTCGCCCTTGCCCGAAACCCCTCGGGAAGACTGTTCCACTGCTTGTGAAGCCCTGTACACTCTCAATCCATGGGTTCTTTTCCCTTAAATAAAGGACATCAAACTCGTTACCAAATTGTTTTAGTTTTGTCCTTTGACAGAAGAAAAGGTAGGAATAGTAATTATGAAAACCTGAAGATTTTATAGGTTCAAGAATTCTAATTTTGTATCTCCTTTAGTAGTGCTCTAGACCATATCACATTCAAAACCATACTTCTGTCCTCTTACAAAGTGAAGCACATACATTCTACTAGTTCTATACACACACACATTCGCTCCCTCTAAGAAACAATTAATATTTCAGAAAAGTACCTTTTGAGAGTGCAAGCGAATGATAATCTCCGCATGTGATCTGAATTATATTATTTTTTTCTTGTAAAATGCACTGAAACCTGATGAAAGAAAATGTTTTATATTGATCACATAATGGAAGTCACAACATTGATGTAAGAATTATTAACTGTATTTAATTAGGACTGAAGCTCAAAACATTAAATTTACTGCTTCACATTCAGCACATCTAAAATTATTATAATAATAACATGCTTTAATTAGTGGCTTAAAAAGAAAATAATGTGCATTACAAAACTGTGGTAAGATGATTCTAAGACACTTTTGCAAACAATAATTTTATGATGCAGGAATAATACAAGATGAAAATAACTTCTAATTCACATGATCTACTAGTAAAAAGTCTCACAAATCATTCCATGATAATTCATTTTTTCCCAAGGTTGAAAACTATTTCTGTAAATATAACTTATAGTATCATTATGAGGGTTAAATGAGTTAATGAATGTGCAAGTCCAGTTTGGGGCTACGTGGACTAAGCAATCATTTCCTTTAAATGCCAAAGCAACACATGGTGCATGCAATGGGAAACATAAATTGATTTCTAGTTCATTGATAGAATTCACCATTTACTTAAGATGTCACTGTATAAAGCAGGCGACAAGGATCATATAAAGTAACATCTTCCAACAAAAATTATGATTGCCTTTTGAGTAAAATTTAAATAATTTTTAATAAAAGAAAAAACCTTCCTTACCTTGCATGTTTTATGCTATAGTTGTACTCAAATGGTTTTCCATCTGAGGAGAGAACCAGCATGTGCTCTGCTCCTTGGTCCATGGAATGTATCTTCATTTTTTTCCCTAACTTAATGCACTCTGCAGAGCAAATCCAACCAGGAGCTGTCACCATTCTGTTACCCACTATTATTATGCATTTCATCATAATACACTTAAAACACCTGGGAAAAGTTTGCTTTTAGATTCCTATTCAAGAAGTTCAGAAAGAGAAACTAAATTTGAAGAGCTAGAAATGAAAAAGGCTGTTAAGAAAATATACCTTAATTTTTGGACAACACAACTCTTTTTTTTTTTTTTTTTTTTTTGGTACGCGGGCCTCTCACTGTTGTGACCTCTCCCGTTGCGGAGCACAGGCTCCGGACGCGCATGCTCAGCGGCCATGGCTCACGGGCCCAGCGGCTCCGTGGCATGTGAGATCTTCCCGGACCGGGGCACGAACCCGTGTCCCCTGCATCGGCAGGTGGACTCCCAACCACTGCGCCACCAGGGAAGCCCCCACAACTAATTTAAAAAGTAAATATATTGTGTATTCTTTCCAAAAACAAAACAAATAACAATAATAAACCCCCCCTGACGCTCCATCTAGAAGCCAAGGCCTATATTCTTAAAAGGAGACATTTGGTTTGGGGGGACGATTTTTAAAAAGGATGTTGTTAAAAGAATTGTTATTGGCATTAGTGCATATTTAGCCCTTTATAAAAGTTAAAGATTTAAAACTGTCCACTATGCCATTTACTCTTATTTAATTTGTTCACAAAAAGTAGGATAGATTTGGGACCCTGTTTCAGTTTTCAGTTCTAACGAAAAAAAATTTATTCATGTAAAAATATCAAAGCACAAACGACTTCATAATAAAAATGCTAAGAGAACCAAAACAGTTTGGTAATAAAGAAGAAATCGCCCAACAGACTAAAGTTTTTTAGAGACCCAGCATTTCAAATCAGTTGAAAAAAAGGAGGGTTTATTCAAAAAAAGGTATTGGGACATTCGGCTAGCCAGTTTGGAGAAACAAATCAATCTAGATCCCCCTACTTCATTCCTTAAGTCAAAATAATTTCCAAGTGTATCAAAAATTTTAGGTTTAAAAGTAAAATCTTAAAATTTGTATAAAGATGAGAACATTAAAAAAAGAAATAGGATTGTGAATGGCTTTCTAACATAACACAAAATGCATAAGCCTCCGTAAAATATTGATGAAGTAGACAATAAAATAACCTTTGCTAAAAGCAAGTCGGGGAAAATTTTACAACATATATGACCGACAAAAAGCTCCTCTAACTCAATATTCAAAAACTCTTCGAAATAAATACGAAAAAGATGACAACTCAATATTTTCTTTTTTTTTTTTTTTTGTGGTACGCGGGCCTCTCACTGCTGTGGCCTCTCCCGTTGCGGAGCACAGGCTCCGGACGCGCAGGCTCAGCGGCCATGGCTCACGGGCCCAGCCGCTCCGTGGCATGTAGGATCCTCCCGGACCGGGGCACGAACCCGTGTCCCCTGCATCGGCAGGCGGACTCGCAACCACTGCGCCACCAGGGAAGCCCGACAACTCAATTTTTTAAAAAGCCAGGCAAAGATATAAATGAACAGGCAGTTCACCAAAAAGAAATGCGAATGACCCACAGAAAAAAAAACCTCGACTCCGCTCAAGTTAAAAGTAAAACGAACAAAAGTAAAATATCATGTTCTTCACTCAACAGAAGGGCAAATTTTTCAGTTAAGTGTGTGGCCATTTGCTTTCCCGCCCACCTGTAGAATGGGAGCTACGGACACCGGACCTAATCTCTACAGAGTTTACCACGGAGAAGTGCAACTGAAAGCACTCTTTAAAATGCCTGCAAACAACGTCACTGAGAACAAGATAACGCGAAAGACGTTCTCCAAAGACTCCAAATAGGAGCGGACCGAAAAAGGGGTCAGTGAGAAACACACTTGGAACAGAAACCAACGACAGAAGAGGGCTGGCTGAGATTAAGATGCTGCCGGTACACTCCCTCCGTGCGATTGGCGGACGCAGCCGACTACTCCTCGCCACCACCCCGCCAAACTCCACGCCCACCGGGCTCGGGGCGGGGAGAGCGCAGGGATGCTGCACGAGCCAAGCGCGAAAAGCCCCCGGGCCGAAGCGCGTCTGCTGCCTCCGCCGACCGCTGCGGCGTCGGGTCCCCTTCTGAATGTCCTTCGCGGTGAGAGAAGGACTGCACACCCACAAGTCGGGCCACTCTTTAGAGAAGCGTCCCTGCTGGCCCCGACCGCGACTCCGACCCCGGCAGCCCACCGCACTCACACCCCCAGCCCGCGGCGGGAGGGCCGAGCGGGCGCTGCGCCGCCCCACTCACTCGGCTTCCTGGCGCCGTCGCTCCCCGCCGGCAGCTGGTGGACCTCGACGCCGGCGCCGCCGCGCTCCAGCACAGCCAGGCGTTCGCGCGTGCAGCACATCTGGCGCGTCGCCTCGGTCCTCCGGGACAGCGCGCTGCGGAGCGGGTCGGCGCTGGGGAAGAGCCAGAGCTTCGCACCCCGCAGCTCCGCGGGCCGGGACGCGGGGACTAGCCCGGGCGCCAAGCGCGCGCCGCCGCCGGCCCGCGACCTCCTCGATGGCCTCCGCTCCATCACTGTTTTCCCGGGCTCCACGGCAGTGCCTCCGCTCTCCAGACCTTCGGAAGAGACCGAGCTGTGGCGAGGCAAGGAATGGGGGAGACGGCCGCTGCGAGAGCGCCCACGGGCCACGAAACGTCGCGGTGCGGAGGCGGAACGAGCGCAACGCACGACGGCGTCGAGGACCCGCAGCCTCCCTACCCCGCCCCTGCCCCGACGCCGGGCTTCCAATGTGCTGTTTGGGGGCGGAGCCGGCAGTGTCAGAGAGAATCGAAACTGCCTTTTTTTTTTTTAAAGTGGGCGGAATCGAAAAGGAAAAGTTAAAGGGAAACTCTATGACTCACGACTGGCTTGGACGGTGGCCAGAGTAAACAGGAAGCTGGCCGGTGAAGAGGTGGGTGGGCAGGGCTGAGAAGGTGTCCTCGGGCGGGCAGTAGCCACCTGAACTGGACAAGGTGGCCTTCGAAGAAACACTGCAATTCCACTAGGAGGAGCCCTGACACAGACGGACGTGCAGAATTTCCAGAAACTATGGTGGCCCGGAGAGCTGAAAGTTGTTAAGCATTCTGTTAGGGGCTCTGCCGCAGTCTTGTGGTGAAACTAGTGCCGTGCCGTACCGTACCACGGCCCACGCTGCGATCCCTGCAACCACTGATCTGCTGTCAATAAATCTTTGCCTTTTCTAGAGTTTCTTAGGAATGGACTCAAACTTGTGCAGTCTTTTGTGTCTGACTTTTTTCACTTAGCATAAGGCTTTTGAGATTCATCCTGTAGTGTTTCATCAGTAGTTCCCTCTTTGTTATTGAGTGGTATTCTATTATATGGATATACCACAATTTCTTTATCCATTTACCAATAGGCAGGCTTTTCAGTCCTTTCCGGTTTGTGCCCACAGAGAATAGAAGTGCTGTGAACACTGTGAACAAGTCTTTGAGTGGATAAATGTTTTCATTTCTTTGGGGTAAATACCTAAAAATGGAATTGCTGTGTCATATGGTAAGTACATGAATATCATTTTAAGAAACTACCAAACTTTTCTAAAGTGCTATACTATTTTGCATTCCATCCAGCAGTTTATGGGAGCTCCAGTCCCTCTGTATCCTTGCCGACATTTGGTTTGGTCAGTCTTTTTAATTTTAGCAATTCAGGTAGTCTAGAGTACTATCTTATCGCAGTTTTAATTTCCATTTCCCTAACGATTAATGATATTTAGCATTTTTTCAGGTGCTTATTAGTGCTGATCTCTGTCTCTTATTTGGTGGTCTGTTCATATCTTTTGCCCATTTATTCGATTGCTTATTATCTAAGGGTTTTTTATATGTATAACAGAGTTCTTTTTTAATATTTATTTATTATTTTATTTGGCTGTGCTGGGTCTTAGTTGCTGCACATGGGATCTTCCTTGCAGCTTGCAGGATCTTCAGTTGCAGCATGTGGGATCTAGTTCCCTGACCAGGGATCAAACCAGGGCCCCCTGCATTGGGAGCGTGGAGTCTTAACCACTGGACCATCAGGGAAGTCCCTGTAATACAACTCTTTATGTTACATATAAAGTCCTTTATTAGACATATGTTTTGAAATGTTTCCTACCAGTCTGTGGCTTGCCTTTTGATTTTATTAAAAATGTCATTTGAACTAACACAATATTGTAAAGCAACTATACTTCAATTTAAAAAAAGCTATGATAAAACTAAAACAAAAAAATAAAATTACATGAAAAAATGTCATTTGAAGAGCTTAAGTTTTAATTTTGATGCAGTTTATTCATTTTTTCTTCTTTATCCATTTTTGTTTTTCTCTTACATAGTTCATGCCTTTTTTGTCTTACTTAAGAAACCTTTGCTTGACCCAAGGTAACAAAGATTTTCTTATATGTTATCTTCTAGAAGTTTTATAGCTTTAGGTCTTTGTTACATTTCAAATGAATTATTCTTTATGATGTGAGGTAAGGGAAGAGGTTCATTTTTTTATTCTTATGGATTTCCAACTGTTCCAGTTTGGAACAGTTCCACTGAATTGCCTTGGCGTCTTTGTCAAAACTGTTGGCTATATGTGATTTGATTTACTTCTGGACTTTTTATTGTGTTCCATTATCTGTATGTTCATTTTTAAAAAAAATAAATTTATTTATTTTTGACAGTGTTGGGTCTTTGTTGCTGCATGCAGCCTTTCTCTAGTTGCGACGAGCGGGGGCTACTCTTCGTTGTGGTGCGTGAGCTTCTCATTGCGGTGGCTTCGCTTATTGAGGAGCATGGGCTCTAGGTGCGTGGGCTTCAGTAGTGGTGGCACGCGGGCTTCAGTAGTTGTGGTTTGCGGGCTCTAGAGTGCAGGCTCAGTAGTCGTGGTGCACGGGTTTAGTTGCTCCGTGGCATGTGGGATCTTCCCAGACCAGGGCTCGAACCCATGTACTCCGCATTGGCAGGTGGATTCTTAACCACTGCACCACCAGGGAAGTCCTGTATGTCCATTTTTACTCCAGTACCACACTGCCTTGATTACTGTAGATTCTAATTAAGTCTCAAAATCGGTTCACTCAACTGTTCCACCACGGTCCTTCTTCAATGTTGTTTTGCCTATTTTAGGTCCTTTGCATTTCCATATACACTTTAAGATCAGTTTATCAATTTCTACAAAACAGACTGCAAGGATTTTGAAATTGCACTAAATTAGATCAGTTTCAGAAGAACTGACATGCTGATAATATTGATTCTTCTGTCCATGAGCATGTCTCTCTCCATTAATTTAAAGCTTCTTTAATCTCATTCAGCAATATTTTCAAGTTTTCAGGGAACAGTCGAACATATTTTATTAAATTTATCCTTAGTATTTCTTATTTTTTGATGATATTGCAAATGGTACTTTAAAAAAATTCAGTGTATGATTGTTGTGAGTATATATATAAATGCAATTGATTTTTGCATTGACCTTGGATCCTGACACCTTTCTATATTTACTTAATAGTTCTAGTAGTTTTTTTGTATGGATCCCTTTGAATAGCCTACGGATACCCATGTAATTTATAAATAAGATAGCTTTACTGTTTCCTTTCTAATCATTATGCCCTTTCTGTTTTTTAGTTTGCCTTATTGTGTGGACTAAGTACATCTAGTACAATGTTGAACAGAAGCGATGACAGACATCTTGGCCTTGTTCCCAATTTTAGTAGGAAAGCATTTGGTCTTTCACCATTAAGTATGAAGTAATCAGGTTGAGGAAGTTCCTAGTTTTCCAAGAGTATTCATCCTGCATGAGTGGCTATTCATCCTGCACGAGTGGCTGTTGAATTTTGTCAGTATTATTCTACCTCTATTGAGGTAATGATGTGATTGTTTTTTCTATTATAGTGAAATATAATGGATTTTCAAATGCATTTCTGGACTAAATCCCAGTTGGTCACAAGGTAGTATCCTTTTTATATTTTATTGGGTGTTTGACACGTTAAAACTTTGTAGAAGATTTTTGTATCTGTTCATATGAGAGATACATGTAGTTTTCTTTGCCTGTAATGTCTTTATCTGGTTTTGGTATTAGGGTAACGCTGGCAACAGAGAATTAATTGGGAAGTGTTCTCACTACCTTTATTTTCCGAAAGAGTATATAAAGAATTGGTACTATCTCTTCTTCATATGTTTAGTACAGTTCACCCATTTGCACAGAAAAAGTAACGTTGGAGTTGAAAGGCCTGAAAAACACAACCCAAAAGTCAGGGGCCTAAGGATCCCTAAGATTTAGAAGTTACCTTTTCCCTTAAAATTCAAATAGAATACATCTGGGCCTTCATTGCATTTATTGTAGAAACTAGATCTATCCAAAATAGCTATGGGGATTTGCCGGGGGCTTATGTTTCTACTAACCACCTTACCTTCTAGTGTCCTTGGTGCAGTCTCTATGTCTGTTCTGTCTGTCCTCAGATGCCTGCCCTCTTTCCACATCAGCACCCCAGTAGGAACTTCACCCCATAGCTTCCTTTCCCAAAGTACCACTGACACAAGGCTTCTGTGTGTGGTTTGGGATGACAGGCATTTATAGAATAGCTTACAGTTTAAAATTTAATATGAGATGGAAATGGCCCACAAAATTCATTTCCACCATACTTATATCTCTCCTTTAATTCATTCTATACCATGATGCTGAAAACATATTTCATGTTCTTCATTTTTGTCCAACTGTAATTAAATGGGAGTTCCTTGTTGGGCTTATTAGCCTTTAACCAAAATAAAGAATGCTTCTTGGAACACAGCAATGAGCATAAGTCATTATTCATTAAATTAATAAATCCCTTAACATTTAGATTTTTCAAATAGATTGTTTGGCTAAAATCAAAACTCTGGAGACATTCCAGAATATAAAAATATATATCTATGTGCCTCAAAAACATGTTGAATTAGTTTATAGTTTTATTTTTTTGAACTTCAGCATGTCTTTCATATTTGCAGACAGTGTTTATTAGATGTACAATTTTTTTTTTTTTTTTTAAGGCGGGCCTCTCACTGTTGTGGCCTCTCCTGCTGCGGAGCACAGGCTCCGGACGCGCAGGCTCAGCGGCCATGGCTCACGGGCCCAGCCGCTCCGCGGCATGTGGGATCTTCCCAGACCGGGGCACGAACCCGCGTCCCCTGCATCGGCAGGTGGACTCAACCACTGCGCCACCAGGGAAGCCCCCTAGATGTACAGTTTTTTAAAAATATCTGTTAGCTTTTAACATGTAGTATATTTTTAAATGATAATTATTGTTCAGGAAATAATTCAGTAAAAAGCAAGCATTCTCATAGCAAGTTTAAGGATCAGGAAATGTTGATTCATTAAAAATGTTATCCTTGACTCATCATGTTATTGTTTATCCCAGCATTTGTCAACTTATTCTAACTAAAATCCGTCAACACTTTGTACTAAGAAGAACGGAAGGATCGAAGGGTGAGAGAACCTGAGATCTGAGCCTCTCAAAGGTCACTATCACTCTGTGACCGTGGGTGACATAAATCCTTTGTTGCTGTTGATGGCTACTTGAACTGCTTCCTCCATTCTTTCCATTGTAGAATATTTAGGGAGGTCCACAATATTATGACATGTCAGTGATATTGAGAAATCTCTTTCACTGAAAGTTTCAGGACAGCAAAATAGGATTCCCACCTTCCGTATGCTTTTTACATGCAGCCTTTCATTTCCTGTAAGAAAAACTAAAAAGAAATAAACTTTGGTTAAGAGAGTTCACAGGAAGAGCAAAACTTAAAATGAAAAGGAAGAAATCAGTCACTTCACTCAACAAATATGTATTGGGTCCCCTTGTGCAAAGAGAGCTACATGGGACCATGTGGAGTGAAAAAAAATCATGACATTTGGTCTTGGTCCTTGATCTAGTGAGTTCATGATCTAGTTGAGGGGAAATTATATACCTGAAAATATAACAGCAAGATACAAGGAAGTTTAGTTTAGCTCAGCTAGGAAGTATGAGGAGCTAACTCAAGGCAGGGAGAGAGGCTGGGGTGACAGGGAAGCTTCAGAGGTCACAGCTGGCTAGTCAGTTCTCAAGGAGATGAGCTGGGTGACCATTCTAGGCAGGGGGAAAAGCCCAAGAAAAAGCCAGGGGTAGGAAAATGTAAGTGAACTCACTGAACGTACAGCCAACAGAACCACTGGACTGGGCTTCCCTGGTAGCGCAGTGGTTAAGAATCCACCTGCCAATGCAGAGGACACAGGTTCGAGCCCTGGTCCGGGAAGATCCCACATGCCACAGAACAACTAAGCCTGTGCACCACAACTACTGATCCTGCACTCTAGAGCCCAAGAGCCACAACTACTGAGCCCGTGTGCCACAACTACTGAAGCCCATGCGCCTAGAGCCCACGCTCCACAACAAGAGAAGCCACCACAATGAGAAGCCCACGCACTGCAACGAAGAGTAGCCCCTGCTCGCCACAACTAGAGAAAGCCCGCGCGCAGCAATGAAGACCCAACACAGCCAAAAATAAATAAATAAAATAAATTAAAAAAAAAAAAAAAAAGAACCACTGGACTGAAGCAAAAGTTTCCCATTAAGAGAGAATATTGGGGCTTCCCTGGTGACGCAGTGGTTGAGAGTCCGCCTGCCGATGCGGGGGACACGGGTTCGTGCCCCGGTCTGGGAAGATCCCACGTGCCGCGGAGCGACTGGGCCCGTGAGCCATGGCCGTTGGGCCTGCGCGTCCGGAGCCTGTGCTCCGCAACGAGAGAGGCCACAACAGTGAGGGGCCCGTGTACCGCAAAAAACAAAAAAAAACAAAAAAAACCCATTAAATCTAAACTATAATCTGGCTTTCATTAGTACTCACAGAAAAACGTATGCCAAGTACTTCTTTAATGTCATCAGCTTCATCATTTAGAACTTCTTATTTCGTTTAAAACATTATATTTATTATTCTTGTAAAATTTCAAAAGAAATAAATGTTCAATGGAAAAAGTTGTGGACAACTTAGAAATGTATAAAATGCCACGTAAATTTCTTCTCCTCCACCTACTCACTCCCTCTTCCTGGAATTAACCTCTATTTATGGTTTAATTGGTAGACCCACTGCTAACACAGACACTGCTGCCCGTGGTGGAAATTATAAGAAGGAGCCCCTTCCTCTAGACAAGTCATTCTCAACCAGGGGTGGTTTTGTCCCCCAGGGAACATTTGGCAAAATCTGGAGACAACTTTGGTTGTTACGACTGAAGGGAGTTTTACTACTGGCATCTAGTGGGTAGCAACCCCATAGGCTGCTAAACATTCCTACGATGTCCAGGTCAGCGCTCCACAACAAAGAATTATCCAGCCCAAAATATCAGTATTGCCAAGGCTCTACACTGTCAGAGCACATGGTGTAAATCTAGCCAGTTTATTCTTCCGCTAACAGTACATGAGAAGAGAGTACTTCCCCCCCATCTGCTGCCAACTCTACATTTTATAAGAAACTTTTAACAGTTGTCAATCTGTAAGCAGAAAAATATCTCATTTGCATTTGCATTTTCTTGATTACTAGAGAGGTTGAGCATATTTTCATTTTATTATATATACACACACATATAGCCACATCTATATCTATATCTATGTCTATGCATCGGAGATATTAATCCTTTGTCTGTCATATGTGTTGCCAGTATTTTCCTCACAGGAGATAGTTTGCCTTTTAACTTAGAACGAGCATTTTTCAAACCTTAAAAAATAAAGTTGATGACAGGCTGATTTATTCAAATAAATGAAATGATTAACTAGGATTTATTTAAAACAAATATAGCATGCATGATTCTCATTAAGAATATCATGTACTATCCAAAGCAACTGTTTCCATCTGGATAAATTCAAGAGACCAGGCCAGAGCTCCGTTTATTGTGCTGGTTGATAATTAAGGGGCATTTGGCTTTTCTCCATTTCTAAATGTTTACTTGATTATAAGTCATGCCAAAATTCAAATTCACCTAAAGAGCATGCACAATTATTGAAACTGAAGACCTTGTCTGTGTGTATAACATTATTTATATTTAAACTACTGAGACTGACTCCATATATAGTCCTAGAAAAGCAATTATATTTACTTACTTCCCCAAAAGAGGACTGAGTTCTTCTAAATCTTCTAATGATGGCTCTTGGTCCAGAAGTTTCTTAAACAGACCCAGTGGGTAAGGGAGGTTGACAATGTTAAAATTGTACAATAGAGTCCACACAGCATCCCAAAGAGGAAATATCTCTTCTTCTCAAACTTAGGGGGGAAAAGGAGAAGGAAAAAAATCCTTAATGTATTATAGATAATCAATAATCCAAAGGGATAATTAGATTAGTAAAAAAAAAAGGTTTGCTTCGCTTTTCTAAAAGTCAGAAATTAGAAACAAAATGGGCTTCAGGAAAATCAAAATTTGAGGTTCTTACACAGGCTATAATACAAAGTGAATTTCTTCCATAAGTTAAAATACAAATTTTAACAGTTCAGGACACTGAATAAATGAATTTGCATTTTGTTACTAATAGCACATCTGGAATATGAAAAAACATGCTCAGATAGCCTTATAAACCAAGGTTTTCACTATTTAATTTTACAGTCTTTGTCTTCAAATTCATGTACAAAAATGACACCAGGAAGAAAGGGTACACCTTATCTACACCTGCAGTGGGCACCAGGCATGTCAGGTGTGTGTCAGAGGAGTGTTCCCCTGTGATGCAGCCTCGACCTAGACGTGCTTACAGGGATAAGCATATGGGTCAGGGAAGGTGACCGAGGCCGTCGACTGTGAGGGTCTGTGGAAAGGAAGGAAAAAGTCCTGATGAAATCTCTTAAATTTGTATAGTGCCCTAAAGTTTTCATGGTGCTTCACACTTTGATATACCTTGTTTTAATCTCACAACAGCTCTGGAAAGCAGGCAGAACAGAAATTATGACAGCTGTTTTATAGGTGAGGAAACTGAAAACTCAGAGAGGCTAAATTACACAGCCATCAGCACTCAAGACTAGAACTCTGGGCTTCTAATCCCACATGACTGCTTCCTTCCCTATCCTACCGTGTTTCTCAACAACTATTACACTTAAAATCAGCAGCCTATAATTTCAAAGAATTGCTGAAGTTCCCAGTGTTTTAGTCTTATCGCTCCATCTACATATATAAAAAGTTTCAAGAGGAAAGAGACTGTGTTACACACTAACTTGAATCTTCTACAATATTTAATACAATGTGGGAACCTCAAGAAACAGTCAGCAAAAGCTTGTTGATTGATAAAAATCCTACCACTGGCACACCTTGGCCATTCCTATCTTTTAGAGGTTCATTCCTTCTCAGAAAGATACAAAACACGGCTTCCCTGGTGGCGCAGTGGTTGAGAGTCCACCTGCCGATGCAGGGGACACAGGTTCGTGCCCCGGTCCGGGAAGATCCCACATGCCGCGGAGTGGCTGGGCCCGTGAGCCATGGCCGCTGAGCCTGCGCGTCCGGAGCCTGTGCTCCGCAACGGGAGAGGCCACAGCAGTGAGAGGCCCCCGTACCGCAAAAAAAAAAAAAAAAAAAAAAAAAAAAAA